AGCAGAATAAGTCAAACTGATTTACATTTTACATTTACATTTACAGCATTTAGCAGACGCTCTTATCCAGAGCAAGAGAGAAAGCTAGTGCTAAACTCAGCTTTTGATAGAAACAAAAGCCCATGTTGATACCTAGAGAAAAAGAACAGAATTAAACACAGCACAGTGCAATACATTTCAGTAAGTGCAGTACAATACACTACAATAAATACTTAACTCAGTGCTCAGTGCTGTGTAAAGAGATGTGTCTTCAGTCTGTGTTTGAAGACAGCGAGAGACTCTGCTGTTCAGACAGCCAGTGGGAGTTCATTCCACCACCTGGGTGCCAGGACAGAGAAAAGTCTTGATGCTTGTCTTCCACACATCTTGAAGGATGGCGGGTCAAGCCGAGCTGTAGTTGAAGCTTGAAGGGCAGTTCGGGTTTTGACCATTGCCATCAGGTAGGGAGGGGCTGGTCTGTTTTTGGCTTCGTAGACAAACATCAGTCATAAAAGCTCCTGTAGGTGTAATGTGTAGGTGTCCCAATACTTTTGTCCATATAGTGTATATAAAACATGTACATTCGCCTGTTGCAGTTAGCAGCTCTCATTATAACAGAGAGAATGTGATTGTGCCCTCAGACTGTATGCTTAAGTGTAGCTAAATGATAATGTGAGCGAACAACTTAACTGTACAAGAGATTATCAAGCTAGAAAACACCAAGCTAGCAGACTGTAACACTAAGTTAACCACAGAGTTCACATCTAAATGCATAAATATTATATCAGCTTCATAGTTCAAATGAAAAAGCCCATTTGCATGTACATGAAAACAAAAACAAAGCAGAAACTAAAAGTATGTGAAATAATTGCTGTTGGACAATTATTTAACAATTATAAGCTTATATTGCAGGGCTGCCAACTGTCACGCATTGGCCTTGAGATGCATTTAGATCTCATTTAAATCTCAATGTTGAACAAAAGCAGAGCTTCCCAGCTTTCAGTCTGAGCTCATTTTAACCAAAACAGAAATGTTGCAGCCGTCTACTAACATTACTATCAGTAACATAAAAGAATAGTATGAAGCTGAACATAGACTGCGTTCCAGCCCCACTGAGCCCCACTGTGGAGAAGTCAGTGAAAGAGCTGCTTCAGATGAAGCCCCTCCTCTCTGTGTGTCTCCTAACAGCGCTCTGCACAGGCAGCAGTGGAGGACAGTGAGAAGATCTTTACTGAACTGATTGAGTCCATCGAGAGACGACGCTCTGAGGTGAAAGAGCTGATCAGAGCTCAGGAGAAGACTGAACTGAGTCAGGCTGAAGAGCTCCTGAAGAAGCTGGAGCAGGAGATTGCTGATCTGAGGAGGAGAGACGCTGAGCTGGAGCAGCTTTCACACTCAGAGGATCACATCCATTTCCTCCAGGTAACATCACTGACTCTGATCATCTACAGAAGGCGTGTCAGCCTTTCCACTGGAAGTGCTGTGGAATTCCCCTCTTTGGGCTGTTTTATCTAGAAATCTCCATCTGTGTGTTTCTTCATCTCTGCAGAGTTTCCAGTCTCTCTCTGCTCCTCCTCAATCTGCAGACTTACCCCAGTATCACAATCAGTCCACAGTTCTCCATGGAGGACCTGAAGAAAGCTGTGACTGGAGTGATGGAACGAGTGAAACTGGAAGTGGTGTCTGGAGGTAGAGTGAATAATATCTGAAAAGTTTAATCTTAAATAAATTCACTAAAACAGAATTTAATGCATCTGTTTCATTTTGAATAGTTATTGATGCCCTGATGCCAAAGACCAGAGAGGACTTCCTGAAATGTGAGTATCACAGATTTACTCAACCACATTCACACATTTACATCCAAACCCTTTATATCTTCATATTTATTCCTTGTCAGTGATCTCCTGCTCCAGTTTCTTCAGAGGCTCCTGAGAGGTTGTTCAGACTCAGTGTAGTGATAAAGATCATGATGATGTAGCTTTTATAGTGACATTTCAGTCCATAGACTCATTATTCTAACATTACCACTGAGCTAATATTAGCATTTTCAAACATTTGTGTCTCCTTCACTCAGTATCACATGAACATGAAGCTTATAAGCCACTTCATCTCATTAAGAATGAACATCATCTATGAATGATATGATTAATTTGTGACAAACTCTCCATATATAAGTAAGAAAATAACAAAGGTCAGTAATTATGTATTTAATAAATAATAGTTCAGTTCAGCTCCTCCAGCTGCTCGATATCAAACCAGAATTAGACACAGTACTGCAGTTCATCTCCTCACAGGTTGGTGGTCTGGGAGAAACGCAGCTTGTTTTATGTTCATATTCAGAATTTACTAAACATTATCAGTGAGACACCAAAAGTAAGAGACGGCAAAAGTACTACAGTAATATACTGTAACACTGTTATGAACATTTTCTATTGTGACTCTGAGTTCAGGGTCTGATCATTGATTTCACACAGTTTTGTGAAATAGCCCCCTCTGCTGGACACTGAGTTTAAGATCTTGAGATGTTCAACCACAACCTACTCACGCTGACCTCACACACACCTGAAAAACATAGTCGTTTGCAAAAGTTTGGGCGCCCTGTCCAAGTCAAAGGACATGATTTGTTGATTTTCTTAGTGAAAGGACATTAAAGGACATCCTCTACAGAGAACACACTTCTGCACATTTTAATACAAAATTACTGTTCATTTGCTGAATTTACTGGAAGAAATAAACATAAAATGTGGCCGGTGCAAATGTAATGGCACATGTTTTCTATTTTTTTTTCTAAAATATGCTAAACTCAGTGAGTAAGTAGAAATTGTGCTGTAAAATGTGCAGAAAAATGCCATATTTAAATGTGTTCCTTGTAGAGGATGTGTTAACTGACCGTTGTCGAGATGGTGGGACTGGCTGAGAGTGATGATGTCACACTTCAGCTCTAGAGCAGCTAAAACATAGAATGCTTACACATTTGACCATGACTTCTGAACCATTACAATAGATTTTTTTTTATGTTTGTCTTCATTGTAAATAGAAAGTTTTCCGTTCTATTTTGTTTTCTACCGTTCTTTTTGATCATTGGGCTTCATGACCTTTTAACCAGTTTGAACAACTCAAAATCCACTTTATTACTTTAGCTTAACGTTTACCTTGATTTTTACATCGATGAGTGTTTGTTGTGTCTTTATTTGCATCTACTTTAAGCACTTTTAGCTGCATGTCAGTGTATTAAAGGTGTTTTTTCTCTCCTTCAGATTCCTGTCAGCTCACTCTGGATCCAAACACAGCACACAGAGAGCTCGCTCTGTCTGAGAGGAACAGAAAAGCAACAGTGATGCGTCAGACTCAAACACATCCTGATCATCCAGAGAGATTTGATGGAGTGTGGCAAGTTCTCTGTAGAGAAAGTCTGACTGGACGCTGTTACTGGGAGGTCGAGTTAAGCATGAATTATGTTAATATTGCAGTGTCTTATAAAGGCATCAGCAGGAAAGGAGGATATAATGAGTCTGGATTTGGCTCTAATGATCAGTCCTGGAGTCTGTTCTGCTCCGGCTCCAGTTTCTTTTTCAGACACAGTAATAAAGAGTCTAAACTCCCTGTAAACTACAGCTCCTCCAGAATAGGAGTGTATGTGGATCACAGTGCAGGAATTCTGTCCTTCTACAGCATCTCTGACACAATGACCCTCCTCCACAGAGTCCACACCACATTCACTCAGCCCCTCTATCCCGGATTTAGAGTTTATGGTGTTTATGGTAATGTCCTTCAGATCTATGATCTTAATTAAAATGCTAATAAAAGCCGAACATGTGTTCATCTACAGTTGTATGTGGGCGACTAAATAATGCAGCCGCATTAAATCTGTCCTGTATGTATTAAACACTGGAGTGTGTACTTTTATTAGACTCCTACACTGTGTATTTCAGTGTTGTGAATATAAAACAAATAAACTGAACGTTTTATTTAAATCACAGTATTCATATTATAGTTTTACTTTGTTAGAACACAAACATACACATCTTTATGCCGATCTTAGCAGTGAAATCATCTTAAATTGTTCATCTCACGGACAAATCTCCCTCGCTTTTAAAATAAATGAGTTTGATGTCGTATGTAAACTACGTTAAAGTTTCAGTCGTAACATTCACTCCTCAGTCCACACAGTACAGACACGCAGACTATTCTGCAAAAACAGCCTGTTTTGAGTTCACTGTCCCTGTGACGTCACAAGAATCAACTCATTCACATATTTCCACTTACTCAGCCTACAGCAGTTTAGCTCCGCTTATTCACACTGAAGTTATAAGGTGTGTTTCAGCCTGGACTGTTTGAGAGAGACACTATAATTTTTGGCATCCTGCAGCATTTTTTTATTTATTTTTTTGTTGCTCATTTATTGACTAGTTTATTCATTATTTAACTTTTGGTTCATCATTTAACTCTCATTCAACCACTGATGTGCCACTGCTGCTGTCTACGCACTCAGCAGTGCTTACTAGCTGTCTGCGTCAAACTTCACATCAAAGTTTCGTTTCCTCTGCTTTGTACAGTTTATTTTACCCCGTCCAATCAAATAAACGATAAACAAGCCAAATCACAAAAAATGACTAACGTTAAATGATGAACAAACCAAGTAACAAACGATAATGATAAAATGATGAAAATGATAAAAGCTGGAAGACGTCAAAAATTACTCCTTTTGTAAAAACACCTCTTCAGTCTTTCATTTATATCTGTTTTTGTTCATTCCTTTCAAGCCAACCTTTGTGATGAATGATAAAATGTGGTTCAGATTTTATCAAATGAAATAACTATCAATTAAATATTCAATCTGTGTGCATTTCTACTGGCAATTTTAATTTCACATGCATTTCTATTCACCTCATTTTCAATGTTTCATTTTTGTTAATTCCACCCATCATAGGGATGTCCATGAAAAAAAAATGATACAGTACTCAGTAAAACACACACACACACACACACACACACACACAAACTGACACTGGCATACATAGAAATGTTAAATACGACTTTAATCATTCCATCTTATTTAAACATGTTTCAGGATCTACAGCATCAGAGCAATTAGTCTCCTCGAATAAGTTTAATTATGTACATAAATAAATGTCATTCAAACCCAAGTCCTGCATCTCCTGCTCATAAATAATACATCTCTGAAAAAATGTAGTGGAGGAGTCACACAGATTCAGATACACACTGTTCTCCACACACACACACACACACACACACACACACACACACACACACACACACACACACACCTCAAGCTCTGTTCTCCAGAAGAGCCTGGAAGTCAGGTGAACAAACCAGTCTGTGTTTAATGTGGCCGAGCACAGACAGATCCCCTCTTCTGCCTTCTGTCCCAACGGACACCAACTCCTACAAAGAGAACAAGAAATTAAAGGAAAGTGTGGAGGAGGGGGAGTGGCCGAGCGTTAAATGCAGGACGTAGAGCCGGTCGGGCTGAACCAGTGGGCTAAGTAGCTGATGATATTCACCTGCGCCTTGTTTGTGCCAGCCTACTTATAGGGCAGAGCCCAGACAGAAGGAGACCGGTGGAGACGGGAGAGAAGAGCTGAGCTGAGCTATACTAAGAAAAGAAAGGAAAAGTCTCAGCGAGCGTCTTGTCTTAATTTGTCTGTGGGCTTAAAAGCCGAGTGGTTTTTGTGTCGTGTGTAAATAAAACATAGCTCTCCGTCTCCACACCTGCTCCCGGCCTCCTCACTCCACCCATCCTTAAAGCGGTTATAGAAGGGTTTGGTGGAAAATCAATTTAACACAATTATCCACTTATCCCAGATGTCTGGAATGATGCTTGGCGCTGGAGCTATGACGCTAAGGTTGCTAACACACACTAGAACCCAGTAGTCACCCAAATCTTCCGTAAATAGATTCCCATCTTCTTTGTTCCACCAGGTCATCTCCTTTTGCTTTTAAACAAATACAAAGATGCCTAACAAAATAAAAGGTAGAGCTGAAAAGTGTACAGCACCTGATAGTTACTTAGTTACTGACTAAGGGGACAACATGTAAAGACTAAAATAATCATTTAGAAGTCAGAGGAGTAGGTTCGGATTTCAGAAGAGTTTTTCTTACCACGTCACACATCTTTACGTATTAATGTCACACACAGCTCAATTTTAAGGTCTCATATACATAAATCAACATTATACTGATAAAATATGATGACCGCAGTAGATAATTCACTCACATCCTCAGGAGACACTCCCTTCACCAAGTTTTAACTGAGTTCTCTTAAAATTCTCTTTCAATGCACTCACAATCATCAGATTCATCCGCTCGAGGAAGGGGTCCGAAGCACAACCAAAATGTTCTTCCACATGTTGTGTGCAGTTACACATTTCCACCAGAGAGGTCTCCAAATCCACAAATCTTATATAGCGTAGCTTTAATGAAGATCACGTTGAGCTCTTCTTTTAGGTTTTGCAGACTTGTTGATGTGGATTAGAGCACAGTATGACTTACAGCTATAAAAATGAACTTCACTGTGTAGCTGAACACTGTGTGCAGGTGTTTTACCGAATTCGGCCTGTTTGTGTTTTACATTAACAACTATTAACTTAGATTTTTTAACTGAACATATATATTAATTAAAATAAACAACACAAATTTCTAATCTATTCTAGCGACCATATGGCTGCGTGACGTGGATAGGGGATTTGGACAGGAATTTCTGAGAGGGAGTTGCAATTCTGTTATCTTTATTAGCCGAAGGTACCGGGCAGCTACATGGTGATGTCTTGTTTATTTTGTATTTTGGAAGGTTACTGTAAGTCTTACCGTTTCCTGTGTGACTAACGCAGAACTGCATGTGGTTTGAGCGGGTCGAGAGAAGTTTTGGGGATGTATTTACTGAAAAGATTTGGATGACTATTGACTTCTATACTGTTAGCAATGCTAGCCTCATAGCTCCAGTTCTAAACTAAAGAAGCAAAATATGGACTCCAAACATTTGTTGGTTGATCAACTACTGAAAAAAAAAAATACTGAAAAAAAGGACCTGAAGAAAAGAGCAGGGGGTCCCTAAAGCCACGTCCAGCGTGATGTTCCCCAGGATGAGCTGCACTCTGCCAGATTTCCTCACCAGCATCCGGCCCACCAAACCCTCCTGCAGGTCCTTCAGGCAGCAGCTGTTCTCCTCTTCAGCCTCCTCCTGCTGCTCCACACATGCACAGACACAGCAAAATCAGACACACTCACATCTTCAAGTAAACATAGTACATACAAAGTGCTAAAGTCAGATATCACCCTTTTGTTCATTTAATTTCCAGTCAAAATGACAACTAAAGTACAAGTTATTCATTTTTCAGGACATCTTCCTTAGGAGATTAGAAAAAAATCTTGATTTGGTACTGAGTGAGGAACAAAATTATGGTTCCTCTGGAGCAGCAATGCTACATTTAATACAGTACAGCAGCAGAAAAGAGGACAGGTGGCAACAGCATAATCAACAAATATATACAATATTGTTTACAATATAATGTATAGACACTATACAGTACAGTACACAACAAACTATATTCTGCATTTACTGTAGTGCACGGTTTATTGTATAATTTTCTACATTTACGTTTATTTTATTCCTTTAATTTTACATACCTGGCCTTCAGTTTTCTGCAGCATGGACTGACCATCCTCTGACTGGACAGCTGTTTTGGTTGGTCTTACGTCAGTTGTGGGCGGCTGGCCTGGTAGCGAATCAGGAAGCTGCATGAAGAGCAGCTCCTCCTCTTTACACTGACTCCAGGCCTCAAGCAGGTCAGGCAGCGAATCGGGCTCATGTATGGGCGGCGGCCTTAACATGGGCTCCGCCTTCTTTACCTCAGGTACCTCAGGAGGTTCTTGTTTAACTGAACAAGAGAAAGGAAGGGGAACAAGAGAACACAGCTTCATCAGTATAGCTACAGTATTAGTATTATTAGGCCCGATCCTATTTCACCCCGTGCCCCTACCATTCAGCCCTTAGCCCTCCGTTTTGTGCATTCATGTCTAGGGGTAGGGTGTCTCGATTTTATTGAGATAGAGGGGTAGGAAGATATGTTAGGGCTACATGCTCCTCCATACGGAGGTTTTTCAGAGGCATACTCCAAACGGAGTTTTAGGAAAAAATAAGAAAAACTGGCAAGACGGCTGTGCAGGTGACCAAAGAAACCCACAAATGTGAGAACTTTCTCCATTAAAAATGATGATAACCATTGTATTATCTTAGTTTAGTGCCGTTTCAATGTATTATGGTCCTTTTCTTCATAACAAGCATAAAAATCGCTAGTACTATGCTGATGTCTCGGTAGCTACCTATCGAAACTTCCGTTCCACCTTAAATGGTGCAGCAGTTTAAGGTGGAACGGGATAATTCGAACAAGGAGCTGGCGAATATCTGACTTCATGTCACTGAAGAATCAGGGGTGGGCAAAAATAAATAATTGTCACATCCCACCTCTTTGAAGGCATATGATGCCCTAAATGTAACTAAAGCCCAGCAGCTGAACTTTACTCTCCTCTGCTTTCACTGCTGACTGGCAGGGTCGCCTAAAGAGCAGCACTAGTAGCCTGTTAATGCAGTAATGTTCTTCTTTATTTGAGGGTCCCATTTCGTAGAGAAGATTTCAACCACTACCCCTTGTAACTCAGTTCCAAGGTCAAGGCAACACTCGAAAATAAGGAGTAGGGGTAAAAATAAGAAATGGGATTGGTTCTTAGTCTTGCATCATTGTGAGTTGCATTTTCTTAGCTTTTTTTTATCAATCTGAACTTTTTTCTTCCCCCTTCCTTTGGATTATCTTTTATCTAACTGCCTCAGAAGTATCTCCTGAAAAATACAAACTGGTACTTAATGGCTGTTTTGACTGGAAATCAAATAAATGAAGGGTGATCTCTGACTTTTGCACTGCACTATGCATAAAAGCACATCTTATTTACTCTGCTCTTCACTGTTTCTTGTTTCTATAACATGTAGGATGGACATATTTCTGTCAAACCTGTAACAGTTCCAGAGCTTTCAGTGTTCATTGGTTCAGCTTCTCCACAGTTGCTCTCCATTTTGAGGCCTATCTTAGTGTCCTCCTCAAACTCCTCCTTAAAGATCCAGCCGGACACAGCCAGGGGAAGCTGGACGGGACAGCTCCGTGCCTCGCTCCTCAAGTGAGGGTCATCTAGAAACTGCACAAAAGTTCATGAATATCTCATCTCTAACTCTCCTTTCAGATAGAAAAACCTGCAACACTGCCAGATTCACTTTCCTGACAATGCCAGTGAATTTCTCCATTCACTCGCAGCCTATTCCCAGATCTTTACTGCGCACGGCATCTCTATATGCACCAGAAAACCCCAGAAATGCTCGTTTGACATCTAAAATATGCAGCAGTAGTAGCGTCATCTTCAATAATGGTGGCTAAACAGATCATTTTTTTTGCATGTTTCATAAACACCAAATGTTCCTGCTTCCAGTACTGGGTTCACAAAGACATTTGCATAACATTACAACAAGATTTCCCTTCCCTGGTTTAAATCTTCCAGCCTGTGGCAACTCGGAGGACACATATCAAAACGTTGTCCTCTAATCCAGCAATGCTCCAGCTTTTGCTTTTGTTCCCACTTCAGTCTACCTGGAATACTGCTGGGACTTTCACTAGGTCTTGTATCTCGTATTCACATATAAGTGTTCCTGGCAAATTGTCAGAATATTTACAAAACTGCATGTGTAAAATAATCAAAATGCAGCCAGTACAGATCCTGTGATCTACATGAAGCATTTTGGGTAAATAATAATTTGAAGGTCAGAGGATTTGACCACACTGAGTAAATGCCCTTCATTATGTACAAACTTACATTGTCTCTCTCCAGCTTGCGCAGAATCTCTTTGGTTTCCTCCTCCGTCTCTCTCTTCTCCTTCTTAATGTTGATGATGGGGGAGGGTCCGCTGTTGGGAGTTTCTCGCATGTCATCATACACACCTAGCAAAGCCATAAGTGGGTGGAAGCATAAGATAATTCATTATTGACACACAAACCATATATTTTACATAAGAATCTTATGCTTCAATACATTAACTAATGACGTACTACCAGAGTAGGCACTACAGAAGAGATTAGTTTTAACGGGATATATTAGGCAGGGGAATTTGTGCAGGATTTGACCAGCTGACTCATTAAGAAAAGTCATAACCCAGGTATTCATGTTAGTGTTACCCCACAAGACACACTCAATGACAACAACACGCAGCATGGCCGTGTCCTTTAGCAGGTTTTATTAATCTATAAGTGTAAGGTGTATTAGAACAGACCCACTATTACTGTGAAAGCTCCAGGTTCTGCAGATTCATACTGGATTAAAATCGCTCCACAATTATTACTGTCAGACTGTAAAACTACACACACTGCAGATTCATACTGGATTATTAATTTTATTGATAATTAGTAATCCATCTGTAAACTTAAATTATAGTACCTTCCCAGGTAAAACTATCCTAGTTCAGGTGGGGTCTTACCGTCACTAATCTAACACACATTCAGTTTTGTGCTGCTTGCCAAAATGCATCTCTTGACCTCTGGAGGTCTCCTTAGCTGCACCCAGAAACCCTGAAAGTTACTGATTTTCCTACTCATCCTCCTCCTCTCCTCTGTGACCGGGCAAACGATTTCATGTTGCCATCTTAGCGGCTGTCTGAACATCAGACACCCACCAAAACAACTTCAAATGGAGGATACATGAGTGATGAAGTCTTTTAAAAATTTTACAGTCACATCAACGCATAAACACCCAGAGAGGACGGCCAAACATGGAGCAATCCAAGGAGTAGAAAACACACACAAACGTAAATCAGCCGTCTCTATAGCAGATGCGATTGGATACAGGAGTATTGGGGTGTCCCTTCAAGCGAACATTGTAACTGACTTAAGCTAGGTTCACATTACAAGCCTCATTGCTCAAACAAGATTTTTTGCTCAAATCCGATCTCTCTGACACGATAGTTCACACTCATGTGGGTAATCGATTCAAATCTGTCAATAATGTGAACGAACTGGTGTCCTGAAATGACCCGCATGGCACATCCTACTCAGTATCGTCACGTAAATGAATCACATGCGTCATCAGTAAACAGACTAATGAGCAGAACGAGTTTCGCTGAGAAGATAATTAACTCTGATCAGCTCTCGGCTTCATTATTGGAATGAGACGAAGGAGAAAAAGGTGAAATGTGCTGCTTTTCCACCGTTTACAGGCTTTAACTCCTGTTCGGCACTGCTGCCACGGTAACGCTGAATGATGGCGCACACGCAGTGGAAAAAAAGCACATGAATTCCGATCCGAGCTTCACATTAAGGTCGCAAGGCCATGAATCAGATACGTATACAATCTAGGACCATATATGAAAGTGGATTGGGTCAGATTTGAAAAGATCAGATTTGCGTGTTCACACAACCCTGAAAACATCAGGTCTGAGTCACATTAGGGCAAAAAATCTGATTTGTGCCACTTCAACCTGGTAAAGTGAATGTAGCCTTAGTTCATCAATCACATCAAATTTAATGACGCTGAAAAGAATCAACTGTCCCATTTTCCCAATTTCTGCTCTTCTCTCCATTTCTCCTGCTCTTCTCCTTGATTCCTTGCTGGGTTGGAGAGGAGCAGTAGGAAGGGAGGTGGAGGACTGGAGCAGAGGCAAAGGTTTTTGTACGCAGTCCTTACCTCTCCTCTTGGCCATCATCTCCGCAGGGCCCTGCTCGAAGATGGAATGCGACTGGATGACCTCTGGGCGGCCCCGCCCCCTGCCGCGCCCATCTCTCTGTCGCCCTCGATCCGCATCCTTCCTCTCTCTCCTGGGTCCTTCATCAGCTTTCAGTCTGAGAGAAAACATCACTAAGCTACGTGACCAGTGAGGCCTGGCTAGAGGTCATTACATACAACAGAGGCTCATGTGGAAGGACATTTATCATAACTACGATGGAAAGCTCATGAAAGCTATTCTGTCAACCCAACAAACATCATTGAGAGTGCTTTATCAGTTCAAACATCACTCACTCTTCTTTACTCTTACGGCCGATGATATTGGGTGTGAATGTTTTCTGTGGGGAAGTATGAGAGAGAGGACAGTTGCTTAATATTTGCATAGATCATATTTGCTTTACAGATTTTTTTGACAAAAAGTGCAGAAATCTGTGGAAACTGTATTCACTGTGAAAGTGTGTGACTGTGGCTGCTGTACCTTCTTCACTCCTCCTAGCGTGAGGTCTCTGGAGCGCATGGTGGGGAGGCGGCCGGGAGAAATAGCAGCAGGCAGCCTGCGGCCGAGCACCGCACCCCTGCCCCCACCTCCAGGCTGAGTGGTCCGGGGTGGTCCAGCATCACCGGAGCCTGGGGTGGCCATCCTCACTCTGTGACGATATTTAGAGTTGGGTTACAATATTGCTGACAGTTATGGGCTTCCTGTGCACCAATAATAATAGTGGTCAGTGCATCAATATTGTATCATTATTGCAATAAATTAGACCACAATATGTCTGACTGGTGAAATTTCATGCTTTGCTGATTTTCTAAGTGAAAATAAGTAATGCGAGTTCTACAGAGAGCACACTTCTGCACAATTTAGTGCACAATTACTGTTTATTTACTGGATTTAAATAAAGCATAAACTGTGGCCAGTATAACAGTTATGGCACAATTAATATGTTATGTTTTATTTTAAATTATTTATGTTGTATTTATGTTAAAATAAGCAAATGAACAGAAATTACACACTAAAATTTGCAGGCAAATGACATTTTTAGCACGTGTTCACTGTAGAGGATGTATTATTTTCACTTAGAAAATCAAAACATGTTATTAGACCAGGGGTGTCCAAACTTTTGCATACGACAGTAGCTGACTGGATCAGCTCATTACACAATTATCTTATGTTATTCTTTTATTTTTACCAATTGTTTGATTTTTCCTTGCTACTCCTTCTTGAACAGTTCATTTTCGCAGCTGCTGAATTTAAAAAAGAAATGATTACTTTCAAACTTTTTTTACCGCCGTTATAAAACGTGGCACTACTGTTTTGCTGAATTCTGTCCGTCCTAACTTTTCCGCAAACGTCAGAAACTGTCTTACACTGTAAACTGACGTGTACAGTGTAGTCATAAGATTCCTACACTTATGACATTTATTCATTTTTGAACTAGCGTATTTACTGAAAACCAACAGGTACGTTCACATGATCGCCACCCTCCAAGAGTTCATCTGAGCAGAAAGTACCTGATCAGAAATTAGATTTGACACAAGTATCATATCAAAACCACGATTACCAATCTGTTCAATCATTTTGAGTAAATCAGATTTTCAGAGCACATCCACTCCTGTTTACTAAGACACTCTATCACACCTATTTGTGACTCAAGTCAGGGTTTTAATGTTAATATAAAACACATTTCTACCACTTTGCTGTACTGAAATCCTTATTTGCAGCTTTAAAGGTGATTTTTTCCTCAAATTTCTGCATAATAGAGTCATGGAGATATGTAGGCCTTTCAAAGAGGATTTTAGAGTAATGTATTGATTTCTTTATAGTGGTGGTGATGAGAACCAGAGAGTGCAAGGTCTCCTATCCAAAACAACCATAAACAATCAACGAACTGTGTCTGAGTTTTTAGATTTAATGTTGGTAACAGTAATACAGTGGTGCTGTAGAGGTAAATCTGAAAAACAAGTGTGTTTTTTTCCTCCAGGTACTATTTGGCTGTACAATGCACTGCATATGCCTCTTTGCCTTCAAAACACACGAATTATAGAAACTAAAAACTACACACAAACACACATTTTAGGCCACAATCTTCTCAAAGCTATTATAAAACAATACCTCACACATTAGGCAATGTATTTATGATCATGTAATGAAATAAAATGATAGAGGGAGATTTTAGAGGCACTGAACACTTCAGACGTCTGGTTCCCATCACCACTGTTAACAAATCTCACTGTTATTTCAGGCAAATTTCTCTAAAACGATGCACATCACATCAAATCACTCCAAATGACTTTCTTTACATACTAATGATTTAATTATACAAAATTTTGAAAGGTTGGTGGACTTCCCCTTTCAGCCAACAGCTTCTCGTAGCCAACACAGCGCGTGGATATGCTGTTAGACGGGACAAGCTAACCTTACAGACCCGTAAAGGCGTCTCTGTGAGTTTCTCTCCAAGCAGGAAGGCTGGATGATTTCAGACTTCAGACACGCTCTTCTCAACACAATCACAGACACAGAGATACGGACTGACTGACTGACTGACTGACTGACCGCTGGAAGAGACCAGTCCAGCTTTTTCTCAACCACAACCAGCCGCACAGCCTCACTGTTCACACTCCTCACTCACAGCCGTGTTTATGCCAACATAACATCCCTCCTAGAATACCAAACCGTGTCGGCCGCCTCAGAGGGCAGCTTCCCTCCTACTGTAAACACATGGACACAACACATGGCCGAGCTCAGCTACCGGCGGCTAAGCTGCTAAATAAGTAGCCACCAGGCTATATAACAGTTTACAGCCCTGGAAGAAAACGGTGAAGTATTTACCCGAATTCTAGCTGTTAATCGACCTTCAAAAAACGGGCCAAAAAAAAACGGCTGTTTGCTGAATAACGAAATTTAAAACAGGACAAGTTAGACATGGGCGGAGTTTTATTAGTGATACGAACGAGGATGTGACGTGGACCGTAGAACCGGGTACGTTCCAATCGGTAGTGATGGTCCCTATGCCCTACTCCCTACTTTTCCCCTCAGGAGTGATCCTGATTCAGTCATTCCTTTAGGGCCTTTTGAGCCTTTAGGGGAGCTGATAGGGTACGTCAAGCATAACATGTAACTTGTAACACAAAATAAAAGAGTTTTTATGACAGGTTTTTATGAATTTTTCGCAACATTCACAGATAAAATATGCTGCAAGAGCCTGACTTCAGAAGGCCTAACCTTCATTACAGGGAGCGTGGCGGCCAGTCTTGGCTGCTATTACAGTTAATTTCCCTTAACAGTGAGTTGTTTGTTAAACACCTGCAAAAAAACTGTGTAGTTCTACAGTATTCGTTATTAAGAGGGGCGTCTTCCCCTTATCATGCCTACACCCTACTCTTTATGTTGCATTCAGAAGTGATTGTGTCTATTCCCTTATTGTGTTCCATTCAGCAATGATTGTGCTTATGTCCTACTCCTATTTTTGTCATTCAAAAGAGATCAAGCTATAGACTTTCTCCCTACGTTACATTAAAATGAGAAATCGCCTCCCTAAATTCCATTCAGACGTGATTGTGCCTGTGTCCTACTCCATACTTCTACTTGGGAGTGATTGTGCCATTTTCCCTAGATCCCATTCAGAAATGAACATGCATATGCCCTACTCCCTACATTCCATTCTCCCTACATTCCATTCTCCCTACATTCCATTCTCCCTACATTCCATACAGACGTCATCACGCCCAAGCCCTACTCCCTACATTCCATTCTCCCTACATTCCATTCAGAAGTGATTGTGCCTATGCCCTACTCCCTACATTCCATTCTCCCTACATTGCATTCTCCCTACATCCCATTCAGAAGTGACTGTGCCTATGCCCTACTCCCTACATTCCATTCAGAAGTGAACTAGGGTCATTACCTTGAATGGGTGGTCTTCTGACTGTAACAATGGAAGCTTAGACAGGTTAAAAGGATCCATATGCAGTTTTTTATTAACAGGATTGAGGAAACAGCCCAGTCCAAAAGTCAAGATCAGCTTACCAGGTAATTATTCAGTAACCCAATGAGTCATTGGCACAGATAGTCATGTGTCAAAAACAAGAGAAAGAGGTTGAAGATTGCGATGGGAACTGAGAGACTAGAGTAGGACAGTAAAGAAGGAGAAATTAGAAACTCGGGAGAGGATTACCTCTGGTGGCCAGACCTGGAATTACAAGGTGCTAATGTAATACTGACGTTATGCATTTTAAAAGCTTCTTTTTTCCACTTTTACTTTTTATTCAAAATGGAACATTTACATAAAAACTGATCCAACACAGGCATTTACATTTTATGGATTAAAGTTTTATCACACAAGCCATGAAAGATGTCAACCCTATTGCTGCCACGCAGGTTTTTATGTCATTCCAGTGTTAAAAAACCTCTCATGCTGTCTTATTTGCTAATTATTTCAATATAATCAATCAAAATTAGAAGCTATTTAATTACAAGCACTTTTACTTCAATAATATTAGTCATCGTATTATTATGTTGATATGAATATGCAATTGATCTCCTTTCCCCCAGTGATATGTAATCTAATATTGTCATTACAGCGCTGTGGAAAAAACAGAGACCACTCTTTAGTTATTTAATTTCCAGTCAAAACAGCTGTGAAATACAAGTTATTCATTTTTCAGTGTCAGGAAAAAAGCAGAAAACACATATTCAACAGACGATTACATAGAAGCCTCACAACTAACTATAATATTATTTGTTTAGTGTTCAGTGTGACAGCTCTTTACCTTTATTACAGCTTCCATTCTTTTCAGGAGACTCACTTTCAGTTTCTCAAAGAAATCTGCAGGGATATTTTTACACACCTCCAAAGTTCAGTCTTAGAAACTGGTTACATTTTCTACTTCCCACAATCCAAGTATCCCAAACACATTCAGTGATGTTGAGGCCTGGACTATGGGAGAGTCAGTCCCATAGAGTGGAGCTTGATTTTCTCCTCTCTCTCGTAGATGGAAGCTTTAAGTGCTGTTTATGTAATAGGGACAGTGTTGCTGGTCTATCAAGTCTTCCGGGTGGTTGTTAGGAGTGACATTTTCTCTTTAGCGTATTTTGGAAACTCCTGTTTTTTTTATTTTCCTTATGTAAGTGGATTATCTAATATCTTACCTTCTCAGAAATACCTCCTGAAAAATAAGCAACTTTATGTCTGTTTTGACTGGAAATTAAATAAACGAAGGCTGGTCTGATGTGCAGCCTTATGATGATAAGACGGTTCTTCAAGGTATCTTTAGTGAAAGAAAATGGTTCTATATAGAACCATGAACACTCAAAGGACCCTCTACATGATTAAAGGGCTCTTTGCATCATGAATGAGTGCTACAGACTGATGGAGAATGTGCTGTAGATGGTTCTATATAGAACTTTTTGACATAGCACCCAAAAAGTTTCTTCTATCGTTACCATCATTAATCCTTAATCATGCAAAGGGTTCTTTGAGTTCTCATGGTTATATATAGAACCATTTTCTTTGCAAAAGAACCGTTGAAGTACCATCTTTTTTAAAGTGTACACTTTGTGATTTAATGATGTTATTACCAAATATGCTTCACCCCTACAGTGATCCCAAAAACTGAGCTTAAAAAATAGAAAAAATGATTCAAAATATATGAAAATAAGGGAAAAAACGAATACAAGAATTATACCTATTTAATACCTACAGAATGGATGCCATGTTGAAGTTTCGAGTGTGTCTTCACTCTCACACACAGCACACTTGGTCTGGTTTTGTCCTTGTGCTGCTGTCAGAGCTTGTCTTTAGATGGATGAGTGCATTTTAATTACACTACAGCTCCTGCAGTTAGGAGGAGGACAAGAGGAGCTGCTGGGGTGGAAGCTCAACCACAGGCAGCAGCATCATGCAGCTCAGCTTACACAGTGGACAGGCTAGAGATGATGTCCGGCGCGTTCGACCTTTAGAGATCGTGTTCCACAGTGCAGGCTGACTCATCTCACAGACTCCATCATTCTCCAGGAATAGGGGTTTTGGAGGTGTAAACCTCTGACTTCACAACGATTCAATTCAGTTACAGTTCTTTAGGAAATGATTCAGTGTGTCACATAATTGGTTCAGTCATTTTCGTAGGATCCTGGAATCATACAGTGAAGGTGTAAATGTGACTGGAGGAACTATTTACTGGAATACAGTCGTATGCAAAAGGTTGGAGTTAGGTTTTGTTGATTTTGACACACACACACACACACACGCAAATCTTCTAAGCCGCTTATCCTTCTGGGTCACGGGTGGAGCTGGAGCCTATCCCAGCAGTCATCGGGCAGAAGGCAGGATACACCCTGGACAGGTTTTCCAGTCCATCGCAGGGCTATATATATGTATATATAAAATGTTTTTTCCAAGTAATTATGGAACATTTCTGCTGGTCTATTCATCATGAAATTTTGAAACTACAGAAATACATATATATGTATATATATATATATATATATATATATATATATATACCTGCAACTTCCGTGTTTGTCTTCTTTTCTGTCTATTTCCTTTTCTCAGTGAGGTTCCTCTTGAACAGCTACACATCCTTTCAGACCCATAGCGCTGAGTTGTCGTCTCTCAGTGGAAGGATGGACAGAAACACTGTGGATGTTTTCAGATCTGAAGCTGCTTGATTTTCTCCTCTCTCTGAAAGATAAATGTACTGCTTATGTGTTGGGGACAGTTTTGACCATGTATCTGATGGGGACAGTGTTGTTGGTCTATCAGGTCTGGTGGGTGGTTATTAGGAGTCCCATTCTCTCTGCAGCTTTTGGTCATTTTTTGAACTCCAGTGCAGCTAATGTCTTTTCATTTTGACTTTCTCCTTTCTCAATATCTTAAATTCAATCTTCTCAGATATCTCTGATTAACTTCTACTTAACAGCTGTTTTGCCTGGAGGTTAAATAAATGAAGAGTGCTCTCTGCCTTTCGCACAGTACTGTACTTCACTGAAATGCACCCAAAACTGACGTAGCTGAATGGCCACCCGACGCACTGATGCATTTTTACACTCCTGCTGTGTGCTGCTCAGTGGAGGTCCCCAATCCGGTTAGCAGAGTGCTGGTTCGGTGTGGGGGATGAACTGCCCATGGCATTGGGGACCATATGGTGCAGCATTTGGTGAGCTTCTCTCGCCCTCAGCTTCAGTTCTGCACTGCACTGAGGGACAGACCCCTTAGGAGAATCTAACGCAGGTGAGGAGGAGGATGACATAATTAAGACAAGCAGGAAAACACATGCTAAGTGTGTGTAATGACCAGGCCGAGTTTTAGCCACCTACGGTACTTCACTTCATCTAATGCTAAATGTTCTACATGCTCCTCACGTTCATCAACACAGTCAATCAGACAGAAACCTCCTCTTTCTCTCTCTCTCTCTCTCTCTCTCTCTCTCTCCCTCTCTCTCTCCCTCTCTCTCTCTCTCTCCCTCTCTCTGTATCTCTCTCTCTCTCTGTCTCTCTCTCCATGTATGTTAAGCCCTGCTGTGCTGAACTGCTGTTACTGTAAATTTTAGCAAGTGTGTGAATAAGCATGTTACAAAGAGAGGTTAATATAAACTCAGTTACTTTTAGCTGGTAAATATGCATGTTTATATATTAAATAATATTGCAAAAACCTTATATTGTAGTCGATTTTGTTCCAGAGCCCAATATTTACATTTAGCGTCTGATCTACTTTATCTAATCAGTCCTTCATGAAATCAAGTCAAGTGCTGCTGATGAAATTTAACAAATCCACAGAGTGGCTGGAGTGCAGCTACATGATAGCACTTTACTGGAAATGTTCGAAACACACTGAGTAGTTCATGCTGTGTGTGTGTGTGTGTGAGTGTGTGTGTGTGTGTGAGTGTGTGTGTGTGTGTGTGTGTGTGTGTGAGTGTGAATACGTCACACTGTAACTGGTGTTTCCTTTCAGGCATGCAGTTCATGCAACACAGCTTTTATACCTTTTCAAGATGTGATGTCGTGCGTCTCATATGTATTATGCATAAACAATATATATGTATAGCCAAAGTTCAGTCTTAGAAGTTGTTTGCGTTTTCTGCTTCTCTCAGTCTGCGTAATCCCAAACACATTCAGTGGACTCTGGGGTGCTCAGTCCATTGTTTTGAGAATACCAGCAGCTTATTTGTTTGAATGTATTGTGTTCAAACAATATATAAGTACACTCTTAAAAAAAGATGGTTCTTCAAGGGTTTCTTTAGTAACGAGGATGGTTCTGTTTAGAGTCCTATGTAGAATTATTGCATGCTTAAATGGTTCTTTGCATAGCGAAATGTTTTTTTCAGATTGATGGAGAAAGTGTTTTATGTGGTTCTATATGGTACTTTTTTGAAAATGGTTCTATATGGCACCAAAAAGGGTTCTTCTAATGTAACAAGCTTGACATTGTAACAATAGAAGAACCCTTTTTGATTCTATATAGAGCAATTTTCAGAAAGGTTCTATGTAGAACCATATACAAAATGTTCTATATAGCACCAAATAAGGGTTCTTCAACTGTTACAAGCTTGACATCGTAAGAATAGAAGAACCCATTTTGGTGCTATACAGAACCATATACAACATGTTCTATACAGAACCAAAAAAGCGTTCTTCAACTGTTACAAGCTTGACACTGAAACAACAGAAGAACACTTTTTGGTGCTATATAGAACCATTTTCAAAATAGTTCTGTACAGAACCATGAACACTCAAAGAACAATTTGCATGCTTAAAGCGTTCTTTGCATTGTGGATTGGTTCTTCAAATTAATGGAGAGTGTGTTGTACATGGTTCTGTGTAGAACCTTTTTGAAAAGGGTTCTTCTATTGTTATAGTGTCAAGCTTGTAACAATAGCAGAACCCTTTCTGGTGCTATAGAGAACCATATATTACACATTCTCCATCAATCTGAAGAACGCTTTAAGTATGCACATGGTTTTAGAAGTGTTCATGGTTCTATACAGAACCACCACCCTTTCTAAAGAACACTTAAAGAATTATCTTTTTTAAAGAGTGCATCTAAAGAACCATTTAAGCATGAAATAGAATTCATGGTTCTGAATAGAACCATTTCCTTTACTAAGGAACCCTTTTTTCTAAGTGTATAAGTATGTGTGGGGGGATATATTATAATTATTATGTTATTATCATAACATATAGCTACTTACATAATACATAGATATATTATCACACACACACACACACACACACACACACACATATACATATATATATATATATATATGTGTGTGTGTGTGTGTGTGTGTGTCTGTGCGTGTGTCTGTGCGTGTGTGTACCCATACAGAGAGGTGGGAGGTGGGAGTCAAAGGGGGGAGGGAAGAGAGAGAGAGAGGAGAGAGAGAGAGAGGAGAGAGAGAGAGTCCCCAATCAGTGTATGGGAACCAATCAGTGTCTCCTTTGGGTTTCCTTCACTCCAGAGCAACCGCACAAACAGCAGCAGCATCATCTCGTTCTCTGTTGATTTGGACTGCCGCGCGCTCTGAGGTAAGCCCACCATCACTGTGAACTGGACTGTGTGTTGTGCACTTCAGTGGTCCTGCAGTAACCCCTGCAGAACAGTGTTTCTCTGCTGCTGTGTTGTTGTGTTAGTGAGTTATGTAATATTTTCTATAGACGGTGTCACTGTGAGCCAAAACACTCCTCCATACACACTCCAGCGTGCATGCAGAGTGTGTGTCGGTGTGATAGTGTGGTGTGTGTGTTTCTCTTCACCTCTTTAGGAGTTAGCGGTGTGAGCGACGTCTCAGAAAATCAGTTCCGGCTGTGGACGCTGTAACGGCTGCAGGGCTGCTGAGTCTGCACTCATAAATCTGTACTTCTTCTGTTTGTGTGCATGAGTGTGTACTGTTTCTACACAGAACACACGGTATTGGAGTCATATCTGTACTGGCAGATCAATGCTTAGAAGTGAATTGTTATTATACTCCACTAGAGCAGAATGTGCAGGTGATGCTGGGCTACTGCAGCAAAATATCTGCATTTTATTCATTTCACTGCATTTGTTATCCTATAGAAATAAAGAGCTTACTTCTCTGTAATGCTAATCCAGGTGGGTCTTGTCCCAGTTTCTACATGTCTATGTATCAGCATTGGCAGATACAGCACTGTGCAAAAGTCAGAGACCACCTTTCATTTGATTCCCAGTTAAAACTGCAATTATTCATGTTTTCAGCGTCAAGAAACAGAAACATATATTTCATAACAGAAAATTACACAAAAGCCTGAATAACTATATAAATACCATTTTTATCATTTATTGTGTTAACACTTTTTATTCCTGCTTTCTGGGGTAGAAATCTGAAATCCACACCTCCAAAGTTCAGTCTTAGGCCCAATCTCATTTCTTATTTTCACCCCTACCCCTCGTTTTCGAGTGCCACCTTGCCTCTTGGAACTGAGTTACAAGGGGTAGTGGTTGAAATCTTCCCCTACAAAATGGGACCCTCAAATAAATAGAACATTACTGCATTAAAGTTCAGCAACCTTGCTGCTGGGCTTTAATCACATTTAAGGAATCATTTGCCAGCTTCATGTTCGAATTTTCCCGTTCCACCTTAAACGGAGCAGCAGTTCTGACACATGAGGTGCCAGAATGTAACTGCTGCACCATTTAAGGTGAAATGGGAAATTTAGCTAGCTAGCTACCGAGATATCAGCATACTACTAGCTATTTTTTATGCTTGTTATGACAAAAAGGACTGTAAAACATTGAAATGACATTAAACTAGAGAATACAGTGGTTATTGTCATTTTTAACTGAGAAAATCTGATCTGTTCATCTGATGGGGACAGTTTTGTTGGTCTGTCAGGTGTTCCAGGTGGTTGTTAGGGGTCCCATTTTCTCTGTAGCTTTTGATCATGTTTTAAACTCCAGTTTAGAAATATTTTTTTCACTAAATGTCCTTTTCCTTATGCAAGTGGATTATATTCCATCTAATCTCCTCAGAAACATCTCCTGGAAATTGAATAACTTGTACGTAATGGTCGCTTTGAGTGGAGTTTAAATAAATGAAGGGTGGTCTCTGACTTTGGCATAGCACCGTATGTACATGACAAACATCAAATATCAACGTTGGCCCACAGTACCTGTATCAGTGCATCTCTCTACAGCTGTAAGATTTGTGTGCTGGTGTGTGTGTTCAGTCTCCACTGCTGTTGAACGGACTGTTCTTGCCGCTGCCGTGTTTGTGGAGAAGCTGCATTACTGTTCCAGACAGTTTAGACTGAGAACACAGTGCATTTTCAGAGTTTAGGCTGTTTCTGCTGGAGTTCTGTGGTGAAGGGTGTATTTAGAGTGCAGTGAGGATTCAGAGGCCTTTCACTGTTATTCTTCCTCTGAACACTCACTGCACTGCAGCTGTGATTAACATCTACCCACAGAGAGAAATCTGAGCCTGACAATATCATTAATAACTCCCACCCCCCCCCCTCGGTCTCTCTCTCTCCATTCTCTGTGGACATCAGTAGAGTCAGTCAACCACAACAAACCTCACTTTACCTCTCTCTCTTGAATCCCCCTCTCTCTTTTATTCTCTCTCTTATTACCTCTCTTTCTCTCTCTCTGTCACACACACACACACACACACACACACACACACACACCACACACAGTAGTTTTGTATATCCCTATTCTTTTTCTTTCTCTCGCTCTCTCTCTCTCTCTCTCACTCACTCTCTCTTTCTCTCACTCTCTCTAAGGTTTTTTTCTTTCTATTTTTCTTTCTCTCTCTCTCTCTCTCTCTTTCTCTCTGATGCTGTTGCTCTCTTTTTCTCTTTCAGTCTCTCATCTCTCTCTCTCTCAGTTTCTCTCAATTTCTCTCTCTCTCTGTCCATCTCTCTCTCTCACACTCTTTCTCTCCCTGTCTCTCTCTCCCTCTCTCTCTCTCCCTCTCTCTCTCTCACTCTCTCTTTTTCTCTCTCTCTCTCCCTCTCTCTCCCTCTCTCTCACTCTCTCTCTCTCTCTCTCTCTCTCATTCTCTCTTTTTCTCTCTCTCTCTCTCCCTCTCTCTCTCTCTCTCTCTCTCTCTCTCTCTCTCTCTCTCACTCTCTCTCTCTCTCTCTCCCTCCCCTTTAGTTCAGGCCAATCTGAATGAATTAGTCACACGGATTAATTCCACACTCTGGTGCCATTCTGAAAAGTCAATGCGTCCTTCATCTTTTTCCACTTCTGTTCAGAAGTGCTAGATCAGTTCTCTGAAGCTGCTGCTGCGCTCGGTCTGACGCAGATTAATAGAAATGTAGCGTGTCAGATAAGTGAAATATAACCGCCATTATAAAATCTAAAACCTGATTGGCTGAGTAAATAGACAGTAAATCCAAATAATACTGCGCATTAGGGATATGTATGGGTACTCAAGCACTCGGTTAACCGTCTGAACTGGCAGTATTCAAATACTGAAATCATTATTCAGGTATTTGTTGCTACTTCTCACAGGAACTCATTAGGAATGGCTAAGAATGAGCGATTTTATGTCTTAACAGGACTGCAAAATGCTTTGCTCCTCTAAATGGCTCTATTATACTGCTACTCTGGAACAGGAGCGCCTGAACGTAAGCACATTGCTAAGGACGTGACTGAAGGAAGTGATAGCGCAGCTGGCTTTTTTCGCTAACTTGGCTAACTACTCTAGCTGAGGTTAGTTAGATCCAGAAACAGTGCACATATTTCTGACATTCTAACATGTTGGCACATCGTCCACTGAGGAGAAAACACCTTGTGTAGAAGATGATAAGTCCTTATTAGCATCTGACAGTGTAGCAGTTAGCTGTACGTTAGTGTTAGCTGGTTAGCTCATCCTGAGGTAGCCTCAGTCACTCATCCGACAAGACAACCTACCGATTTTCCTTGACTATTTGTGAATAATAAAAGATATTTTGAAATTTTAGCTTCATAACACCTGTGCCATCATCTAAAAAGTAAGCCTAGGTGCTTTTGTCCTGTTTTTGTTGCCTGTCCTTTTCCTGTGGTTAACCAGATATCAGTTCATTTAACCCTTATGGATATGGATAGATGAATTCTGTATTAATGTCGCTTAAATGATACCATCATGGAATAATTGTCATCAATATTTTGATTATTAATTTGTGTCTTTATCATGCTGCAATTTGTCGCCATTTTATAAAACATGCCTAACAACACCCTTTATCTGTTACCAAAGCAGCAATGCACCTGGCCCATGTTCTAAAGCAGCAGAATAGTTTTACAGGGAAGTTTCACAGTACCAAAGCCTGTAATTTATGTAGGAGAGCACCTTCTAGATCTAAAACAAGAACACTCCCCTCAAGCAGGTTTTTTTCCCTTATCAGTATAGTAGCTGTTGATGTAAACTGTGAGCACAGCCCTTTAACCCCAAAGCACTTCATCATGCTGAGCAGTGTCAGAGATAAGAACAGAACAGCTGAACAGATCAGATCTACTGATCAGCAGAGAAACAATGAGCGACAGCGACCTTGAAGAAACGCTCCTGGCTTTTACATTGTTAGTTTAACTGGACCCTGAATTAAAATATGGGCCTGTGTTAGCATGTGATTCACAGACAACATGGGACTTCAGATAACCTACATATGACAGTCAGGCAGACGTGTGAATATTCATGAACTGTAATAAGTAGACTTAAATAGTATGTAGGTCATTAAAGTGAATGAAAAAACATTTACACAGTATCACATTCCCCCCCCTTTTTTTCACTGATGGCACTGGCTTACATGGTTTCTGACCCTGTATACAGTTATCTATAAAAAACAGACAGAGGACAGGGTTCATAAAAGCTACTAATACTGTTTTTGGCTATGCAAAATGCTTTTGCTCATTTCTGTGGAAAACCGGTTGTCAAAAACAACATAAGCTAGTCAAAAATGTTACATGCAAGTGTATATATGTAGTAAATTAAGGGTTAAACCAGTGGCCCTCACTTCAAGTGGTTCAGCCCCAGATCACTGATTGTAACTGAGTCTCATACAGTGGACATTAAATGAAGCTGAAGTTAGCTTCTTCTTATTATTTCCAGTTCCACCTTAAATGATGTACAGGTTTTCAGTTATGTGAAGATGCACAGCAGTGGCAAGAACTGCAGACAACCAAGGTGTGAAAAAGGAGGATGAGGACATATCCGAGCAGTGAGAAATGTTGACAGGATGTTTAGTTTACTTAGCTAACGATAGCATCGTTTGTAGCATGCTGACTGTCATAATTATGTCACATTTAAGAGCAAAACCTTTTTTCATGATTGTCTATTCACCTTGTAAATCTTAGTACAGCATATAAATAAATAAGATCTAAGAGTAAGAAAAGAAGAAGATGACTGCACAGATTTCATCAAGATTATGTTGCATGAAGCTAAGAAATTAAGGTGGGCTGGCCTGCATCATATAACTCCCTGTCTGAAAACAAGTCTCACTCCAGCCCTGAACTACTCTGAATAACTTTTGTTTACATCTTAATTTTGAAAAATCAGTGGAATTCACCTTTAAGATGTCATCAGATGTAGTTCTATATTTTCCCTTTTATAAATCCTAAGAAAGGTTCTGAATTTTATGAAATGGTAAGAAAGTGGAGCAGGTGCATGTGAATGGGTGTGTATGTGGTTCAGGGCTTTGATATCAGTCCTAGGAGGGTCTTCTTGCCCTACATTAACTGTGAGTGAGAAGGAGAACAGCTGGGGATGATGGATGTCTCTCACAGTATAGCAGCAACATTGCTGCAGCTCATAGAGTTTAAGGGGCTTTGAACGAATGTCCATCAGAGGTATCAAGCGCACACACGTAACAGGGTAAATGCAGGCATGCGTGACAGACTCATGGTGAAATAGGCTGTCTGTCATCCTCTGGCATGCTTATTAAAAAAGACTCAAACACAGACAGTTCATTATTTACAGTGCACTCAAAGACAAAGTGCTGTGTTAACATATGGCTCATCATTCACTAGGGTTCCTAATTAAGAAGAGGCTATTTGATAGGATTTTCAGGTCATTACATGTGCAGCTCGCCCTGCGTTATTCTACATAACGAGCGACGAAAGTGCAGCAGCGTAGAAAAGATTCATGCCAAAGGAAGGTCGGCCGAACCAGAGTGGCTCAGTAAATGAGACACACACTGAATGCATTTGAAACTGTAATCAGAGTGCTAAACATGATATAAAAAGCCTTTAAAATGCCAGGCTGCCTCACATGATGCCTCACTCTAATGCCACATAAAGTGTCTAAAATGCCACATCTCACTCTAATGCCACCAAAACTGTCTAATGCTGCACCTTATTTTAGTGCCATCTAAAGTGTATAATGCCATTTTTAACTCTTATGTTACCTAAAGTGCCTAATTTCACACCTTACTCTATGCCACACATTGCAGTGCCATAGTTTAATGTTATACTTCTTATGCCACCTAAAATGTGATGCCGCACCTCATTCTAATGCCCCCTATAATCTAATGTCACACCTCATTTTAATGCCACTTAGAGAATCTAATGTCACTCCTCACTCCTCACTGCCACCTAAAGAGTGTAATGCCATATCTCACTCTAATGCCATCTAAAGTGTCTAATGAACTAATGTCTAATGCCACTTTTCTCCCAAAAAACATCTGTCCTTAGAGATTGTGTGTGTGTGTGTGGTGAGAGAGAGAGAGAGAGAGAGAGAGAGGATGGAAGCACTAATAAGTCAAGGTTTTGACACTCTCTCTATCCCGTGGGTGTGATAAAGGTGTTTTGTATGAGCACACTGCTGGGGTCACTGATCACAGGGCATGGAGATGACAGCTAATTAAACGCACCCTGCCCAGCTCTCCCATTTCACCACTGCCACACTGCCATCACTAATCATCTCCTCAGGGATGGGAGCAGTGGCCTAGAACGGCAGGAGAATTCACAGACTGGGCTCAGGTGTCCAGCCTCTCTGGATTAGGAGGCCTCACTCCCTGAGGGTGTTCAGACCAAGAGAATTTAACTCTCCAGTATCCTGTTGTCTTCCATCAGCTTTATATTTACCCAGGTGCACCTGAAGGTGAGCAAATCTAGTGAAGGCTGAGGTCCTAAGGAACTTCTCTGTCAACTGATATTACTAATAATAGCTAAAAAAATAATAGCTAATGTAATATAAGCTAAAAAGCAATTGCTAGCTAGCTAGCTAGATAGATAGATCATATCTATCAAAGCTAACTAGACTATATCCAGACGTTTAGCTAGTTAACTCTGCTGCCTACTGCAAGAAGCTTATCTTTATATTCTTTCCTGTGTTTCAGTCCCACCGCACACTGTTGCCACACTAAGTCACAAACCTACTCTTTAGTGTTGTGCCAATGTAGCCACTCAGCGCCCTACATGCTCTCAACTCAAATCTTCCTACAATGAGTGGAGCATCTGCACTGCTCCAATAGATGTTTGGTTAAACTCATGTTCACACTAAAATGTATTACACTGAGATTCAATATTTCGCTTGAATAAAAGTCTATGAGCTGATAATAGTGGGGGTGCACATACTTCAGGTCCTGGCCTAAGGGGAGAACTACAATCTGGTATTGAGAAGAAAGTCAGAGAGAAAGAGAGACATCAGTTCTGCTTGGGTGAAATTGCTTGAGTGAAATAAAAGCAAAGTATTACTTCATTATACCTCTGCATATAATTGGGACTGAGATTTTATAAATGTTGCAAAAGTGCATATAGACAAATAACCTGTATGACATTGTATCTCTTTCTTTCTTTCTTGCTCTCTTCTACTCTCTTGAAAGAGAAAGAGAGAGAGAAAAGAAATGAGAGAGAAAGAAAGAAGGACAACTATATATATATATATATATATATATATACTACAGAGAAAGAGAACAGAAGAGTGTGTTACTTTGGCCTGATGGGTCACCTGTCACTGAGGTTAATTGAATTTGGTCTGAGGCTGGCAGATTGCTTTTTCATTGTCTTGCTGTAATTTTTCACCTCTTGACGCTTCTCTCTCTATCTCTCTCTCTATCTCTCTCTCTCTCTCTCTCTCTCTCTCTCTCTCTGCAGACAATGGGTGAAGCGGAGCTCCTTTCCACACCTCACAACATCCAAATCAGTGAGGTGACCTGTGACTCGTTCCGTGTTGCCTGGGAGATGACCCCTGAAGACACGGCCCGTGTAACACATTACTTCATAGATTTGAGCCGGAAAGAAGGAGGAGAGCAGAACCGCTTCAAACATAGAGTAATGCCACTCATCACTCTAATGCCACACCTTATTCTAATGCCACTCTTCACACTAATGCCACCGATTAATGCACTGTACATTCTAAAGCCACTCTTTATACTAATGCTACCGATTAATGCCACTCTCCACTCTAATGCCATGCTTCACACTAATGCCACTGATTAATGCCACTCTACACTGTAATGCATTACCTCACTCTAATGTCACACTTCACTCTTATGCCACTTTTTAATGCCTCTCTTTAATGTTAACCCTGTCACCCTTCACTCTAATGCAACAGCTCACTCTAATGCCACACCTCACTCTAATGCCACTCTTTAATGCCATCTGCACTATAATGTCACACCTCACTCTAATGCCACACTTTACTCAAATGTAACCCTTTAATGCCACTCTCTGCACCACTTTTTTATTCGAATGCTGCACAAATATGTTTTAATGCCATATTTTAATCTAATGCCACATTTTAATCTAGTGACACACCTAAGTACCCCATTTTTACTCTATTGCCACAACTCACTCTAAAGCCACTCTTCATTCTAAAGCCGCTTTTAACTCTAATGCCACTCTTCACTCAAATGCCACTATTCACTTTATTGGCACGCCTCAGTCAAATGCCACATCTTACTCTAACGCCACTCTTCATTCTAATGGCACTTTTCATTCTAATGGCACACTTCATTCTAATGCTAGCTTCATTATCACTTTAAAAATCATTTTGTACCGATTCCCCACGCAAGAAGATATTGTTGCTGACACATCAGGACCATCGCAACAATTTTTTCCCCAAATCATTGTTTTTTTCACATTGTGTGCGAATTTTATGACAAATGGTCCAAAGTTACTTGGGTTAAAAATCGCATTATATTACATTAAACATTAAATTTAAGACCCTCCTTTCCTTCTCCTATTGAGTTATCATTTAGGAGATACGTGCTTGACGTGACAGCAATATTCTACTAAATTTAAACTAAAAAAGGAAATGAGAGAGAGGAAGATGTCTAAAGATGCCTTTGGAGATGAAAGCATCTGTCAGCATTCTGCAGACGCTGCAGTAACACAGGCGGCCGGGATGTTCTCTCAGTCACTACTAATCCTGAAATCCGAAAACCTCGGCCTAAAAATCGCTGCAGGCCAGTGACTCATCGGGCCATTCGTTTCCTCTCCAATAACCAAAACCCGCCAAGCGGCTAAAGGCCAGAGTGCTGGACTGCTCCAACGAACCACTCAGCTGAAAAACATCCTTGTTCGATTGACTTGCACTGTTTAAAAGGCAATGAATTGTGCAGCTGTAGTACATGGAGAAATAAACAGTACAGAGTTCTGTCTCTCAGAGAGAAAACACAGCAAGAGGTGTTGTCACTTCTAGACTCCCTCAGCACTGTTTTACATGCTTCAGACTATTGATTTTCCACGTTATTTACACAAATATGTTTTCCTTTGCACAGCATGGTGCTCTTTGGTGGTTAGCTACAGATATAAGTCACTGCTAATGGCTTTTTAATCACCAGCAGTTCTGCTACCGTATTCACGTAGGGGATGCTGAAGATGGGGTTGCTATGGTTATAGCCCTCTCGTGGATTCAGCAATTGGTTTCGCTTGTCAGAGAGCCGAGACAGCACAACAAGACTAATTAGCTTTGATAGCGTTCTGATATGAAGGTTGGGAATACTTGAGTCACAGCAAAGTTGGAGACTGGCATTCAACCTTTTGCAGCAGAGTGCAGCAGTCAGTTTAACAAACATCAAATGTGTGGAATGCACCAATGGCAAAAGTAAAGAGTTTACACTGAATTTACAAGGTGATTTCACATTAAAGACATGATGTAGCAGAAGCAGATGTAGTGTACTGTTTAGTAGTAGGCTATAGGCCTTGAGAACATGGTGTAATGAGGCTGTGTTTTATGGGTGATCCGCCATTGTGGCAGGGTTACTATCTACTGGATTTTAACTGTTTGCAAATGTGCCACAATCTAACTGCTGCACCATTTAAGGTGGAATGGAAAATGTGAATAAGAAGCCAGTCTCAGCTTTGTGGTGAGGTATGTACTGATGCTACTAGCATTTATTAACAAACCTAACATTTTACCTTTCAAAATGTGCTGTTTTCTACCTAAAAGGTACGAGGTGGAGTTGTGCTGTGACTAGGCTAGTAAAGTTAGTTGAAGTGTCAGATGATTAGCAGGTCTATTTCTATTAGAGACTTTACACTGACTGCCCCTTCAGTGAAAGCAGTGTAAGTCAAGTGTGACCTAATATAGATTTTTGCGGAGCTTAATACAGATATAGTACAGTACAGTAATATTGCTAGTTCGCTAACTAGCTAGGCAACCAGTGCATGCTACAGTAAAATTCATGAAAACTGAGTGAAATGTGCGAATAACTAAATGATATGTGCCAAAACTGAGTGAAATATGCCAAAACCGAGTGAAATAGGCTAAAATGGTATGAATCCTCTCTGGCTAATCTGCTTGTGGCTAAGCAGAATATCAGTTTGTAAACATGGAATTCCAGTGGAACAGGTACATGGGTTTCCACACCACTTAGGAAAAAGTCTGGGAATGAAAGAAGGGATATCATATCCAGAATTTTACTCTCTTTGTTGGGAAGTTTGTATGAATCCACCTTATTAATAATGGTAATTTTATCATTATGTCGTTGTTTGTCATCTCTTTGCCCTGAATGAAATGCTGGTCTGAGCTGATCTAAGCTGGTTTATGCTGTTTTTTGCTGACCTGGTTGGTCATACTGGCTGACCAGCATACCACTATCCAACACACAACGGATGCTTGTCTATGCTGTTTTTTCAGCAGGGTGCAGTTGGTTAAGATGTGCTCTTGTTTCGTTTGATTCACTTTTTAAACATGACAGCCTGGAAAAAAAAAACAGCCGGCAATTTCTATAGGCTCTCACTTTGTATATGAATATTTGCGGCATGTAAACAAACCCTGCCAATACGATTCCATAACGCAGCTCAGCGTGACGTCAGTTCTCAAGCCCTGTATTTATATATACAGCTTTTAAATAATGGGTTATATGTCTAGTATAACACCAGTCATTTACTACACATAACAAAAGATGAGCCTTTTCTTTAGGTAATTGAATGGACCGGTTCTGACCAAGTTATTCATGGTCATGGTTAAGTCTGTTTAGTCATAAAGTGTTTCGTTTAAGGGATAAAGGAAAAGCCCCAACGAATGACGGTTGATGTTCTGCCTTCATAACAAACTTTACTCTATAACCTACTCTTAAGCTTACTATAGCTGGCCCTTGTTCCGTTTGACCCCATCAGGATGTGCCTACCAAGCTGGTGGCCAAGGCAGTACCCCTACCCATGGCAGTAAGAGGCCACTGGTTCCTGAGCCCTCGGACCGAGTACTGTGTGGCAGTGCAGACGGCCATCCGACAGCCGGATGGAGATTACCAGGTGTCAGAGTGGAGTCAAGTGGTGGAGTTCTGCACTGGAGGTAAGAAGAGGAGGTCAAGTTTAGGCCCGAAATTGTGTTCATAGATAAGAAACTATGAGAAAAGGTGTTCTAGGGGGATGAATGCTCTAGTGGGCAAGAGCTCTTCATTTTTTGCCTTACCATATCAGGCTAGTGTTGAAAAATGAAGCTCTACAGTAGAGTATATCTGCAATAGTTGTGTTAGTAGAGATGCTCCTCTTCCTTAATTTGAAGTCCTGAAGAGTTTGTTTTGAAACCTATAATTAATTGATCTATTGCTATTCAGTAATGTCTGTGAGAAACTGCAGAGGTGAGTTGCTTTTGTGTGACTGTGGTTCTGTTCCATAGACTACGCAATGGACCATCTCCAGCAGCTTCTAGATAAAGCTCAGGGAGTTGCTGGGAGGATGCTTCGGTTCTCAGTGTTCTACCGGAACCAGCATCCTGAATATTTCCAATATGTGAGGTGAGTAGGAGTCCACCACCACAGTGGCTGTACGCTCTTAACAAAGATGGTTATTCAAGGGATCTTTAGTAAAGAAAATGGTTCTATATAGAACCATGAACACTCAAAGCACCCTTGGTTACAGGGTTCTTTACATGATGAAAGCGTTCTTCAGATTGATGCAGAATGTGCTATAGATGCTTCTATATAGAACCTTTTTGAAAAGGGCTCCATATAGCACCAAAAAGGATTCTTCTATTGTTACTATGTCAAGCTTTACACAATAGAAGAATCCTTCTTGGTGCTATATGGACCCCTTTTCAAAAAGGTTCTACATAGAACCATCTACAGCACATTCTGCATCACTGTGAAGAACACTTTAACCATGTAAAGAACCCCTTAATCATGCAAAGGGTTCTTTGAATGTTTATGGTTCTATATAGAACCATTTTCTTTACTAAAGAACCCTTGAAGAGCCATCATTTTTAAGTGTTTAGTTTTCTTCATCACACTCATCATCTTCAGATTCTAATTTCTTTTGATTTTTTAAGTGATGCTTTGGCCAAAAAACGAATTTACACAATTTCCCCATTTAGTAATTACCTAAGTAACAAGTGATGGAAGCTTAGCAGTGGAAGGTTAGCAGCTGAATTTGTAAATGCAGCGTCTGCTAAATGCCATAAATGTAAATTTAAATGTAAATCATCTGCCTCAAGCCATGTTATGTCATCTAGAAAAACTGACAAGATCATGTTGCATAGCTAAAAGCAATGGCAATCATTTTGAGGCCTAAATTCTGTGGTTATTTTTGTCTATTTTATAGATGACAGTATGCCAGATTACACTGGTGACTTTTTCTGGTGGCCATTCATTACTTGTTAGCTACATTAGCCTCACAGCTCCAGTGCAAAACTACAGAAGACTTTAGATGCCAAACATGGTTTAATGGATTCAATACATTTGGGATAAGGCCAGAATTGTAATTTTAATGTAATTATTGATGTATTTTGATTAATTTTTTGATTAATGTAATTTTTTTAATGTAAATTTGGCAAAACCTCTGCTTCAAAGGGAAACTATGGCCAAAATGAAAAATGTAATCATCGCTACATCTGTTGTAAACTTGCCTACTCAACTCCTACAGCGTTGCCACTGTAGTCACAAGGGATTTTCTAGTTTAAAGATTCAGAAAACCCCCTTCTGATAATGTATGTTGAAGGTGCAAGGATCGTTTGAAAAACTACACCTGCTTCACATGGATTTTTGAGGGCCGGCTGTTTGGATACTTTCCCGACTAGCTGACGGATGCAGAACGAAGCCAGATAGCTAACATTACTGCTAGGAAGCAGAATATCATATTTATGTTTATTAGCTTTTACATCAGTGGGGGATTCCCAGTGGTTGTATGCCATATATGCGTAATGCATGCTGGGTACTGTAGTGAGAGAACAGCGATCAATGGAAACACGTCTTGGTTGCAGTGCTGAGCTAAATATTACATAAGATGACAAACTGCGTATTTAATGCTAATTGTAGGTGTAAAGGCCACTTTAGGATCTCTTCCTCTCTTTTTCTCTCTCCACAGGACACAATGTGGAGGTGCGATGCTCCCGTCTCTAAAAGACAACAGTGGCAGCCACGGCTCCCCCATTAACGGCAAGCTGTGCGGAGTCTTCCTCAGCTGCAATACTGAATTTGACACAGGTCTTCCTCCCAAAGATTCCCCCTACGGACCCCTGCGCTTCCACATCTCCGCCGGCCACCTCTTGAACCCCAACGCCCACCTCTACTTTGCCGACTTCTACTGCATGTACACCGCTTATCATTACGTAGTGCTGGTGGTGGCCCCTGTTGGATCAGAGGGGGATCGCTTCTGCAGCGGCCGGCTGCCATTGCTGGACCTCACGGCCAATCCTTTCCTGATTTACGTCCCGGGGCCAGAGCCAACGTTCTGTCACGCAAGCGATGTTATACTGGAGGTTTTATACACGGAGCCATTGGCCCTGGACCAGGGCACGCTGGTGCAGATCAGCGGCCATCACCAGCTCATGAGTCTATCCACAGCCAATGCCAAGAAAGACCCCAGCTGCAAAGTGTGCAACATCAGCGTGGGGCGCTGAGCTGAGGATGCTGGACTCAGTATGCTTTGGGAAGAACTGAGATGCATCTGGAACCTTGTCAGACTACAGAAGTGTCAGCCTCTATACTCATGACAATTCACATTCACAGTCTTGGACGAGAAAGTCAACACCTTGAACAGTGTTATATGATGCAAAGATGAAAAAAAGTGACAAGCAAGTCTCTCAGGTGGAAGACAAAACTAGAGCACTGAGGCATTCTCTACACAAACTAAGAAATGTGAGTTAAATTAGGTCTACGTTGTTTTGGATCTCTAGCATGGATAAGAATATAAAACTAAGCCATAAGATGTACATACTGCCAAATATATGTAATATGTAATACAATGTGTAATATGTGTGGAATATGGAAAGCTTATCCTCTCCCTGCCAAGTGCTTTTAGTCATTGCTGAAATGTGTATTCTTCTCCTTCACTGTTTGGGAACCACTGCCGCATAGTTAAATTATTAAATTATGGAATTTACATTCATTTATTTTTGTAATGAACGCAGTATGTTCAGTTTCAAGGCCCTTCAAAGTTGCTTTCTGAATCAGTTACAATCCATATTGGCACAGCCACTTGTGTCTTTGATGACATCCTGCAATATATATCGTTTCTGTCTAAACATTTTTTTTTATTTCCAAAACAGAAATGAAACTTTTCAGGAGAAGGAAAAAATGGGTGTTTTATTTTGGACCAATTCTGTTGGCCATGAAATTTTCATACAGTGTAAATGGCAGCTGGTGTTATGAAATGATGTAAAAAGTAATAATAAAATTGCCAAAAAAATGAGAGATTATGATTCTTTAAGTAAGTAAATACTCTTTCAGTGATGTAGTGTCTGAGTATGCATGGTATGCACTTGCATTTGCGCCCTGTAATTTGGGGTCTGTGAATCACATCTGCTTCTTGTTTTATCAATGGACAACTCACCTTCGGCAGAGACACCTATGTTTGCCCAAAGGTGAGTCACTTTTAGTTTTGCGCAATTTTTATATAAGGCATAGACAATTTCTGATGTATTTCTCTCTGTTTCTAGTGTGGCTTTGTTAACGGTCCTGTGTTCTCTTGTGTTTTGCAGTCATGTTTTTGGCATAATAATGGGATGAATAGAAAACATTGTATAAAAATTATATCTTTTTCATCTTTCATTCAAAAATTATTTTTAAATCTTATCAGGAAATAATTATTTTTCTCAAATCTGTGTGTGCCACAATTGTTGGTACTCTGTGCAGATCCCCTTTGCTTGATAACAGTCTTCTCCTATAATGCTTAATGAGACTGGAGAACTCATGACAAGTGACAAGACCATTCCTACATACAGAACCTCTGCAGATCCTTCCTTCAGATTCCAAGGTCCACACTATGGACTCTCCTCTTCAGCTCAACCCAAAGTATTTTTATGGGTTTAGGTCAGGGAACCAGGGTGGTGTCACATCTGTTGCTGAATCTCCTCCTCACCAACAGAGGTCTCACTCTCCTGAATATTGAGTTTTGGGCTACACCTGTTCCTAATCAGTGGCCATTTAGTATTTGAGGTCCATTCAGAGATGGGCTCAGTGTGAGGTCTTGTTCTGGTTTTCCTGACAATTCTGAGTGTTGTATTTTTTTGTGCTTTCCTTCTGGTTATGATCTATAGCTTTGGTATTTGGGTTTTGAGAATTGGATTGTGTTTCTGGACTGTTTTTCTGATTGTTGATGCCATCTTGAAGGATTTGAGCCAGGTTGCTTGTGTTTTGAATGCCTCAATAAACCTGCACCTGATCCCAACCACTTCCTGGGAGGTTCATTGTCACAGGTGGCCATGGCGAAACCTTAATTCTGTGGTCAGTAAACCATTTTTGTGTTGATTTTGAGGTGTGTTTGGGATCATTGTCCTGCTCAAAGATCCAAACTATGGCCCAGTTTAGGTTTCCTGGCTGAGGCAGTCAGGTTTTGATTTTATTTCCTACCCCAAACAACTTGTGATTATGTAGGTGGTGTTTGGTTGTAGTTTGGGAGACGTTCTGACCCCAAGACCTAACTAATGCCTGCAATTCCTCATCTGTGATCCTTCAAGATTCTTTGTTCACTCCAACTATCAGTACAGACATACGTCCTCTTCCCGGGCAGATTCTCAACATCTCCAATTGTTTTAAGCATTTAATTATTGCCCTGATAGTGGAAATGGGCATTTTCAACTGTTGAGCTATTTTCTTGTAGCCTTTTCCTGATTTGTGCAGCTCAACAACCTTTTGTTGTACATCACTGCTGTTTCCCTGGTATTTCTCATAGTGATGGATGACTGAGGGAATCTGGCCTGTGTTTCAACTCATATATATTCCCCAGTAAAACAGGAAGTCATGGCTGACCATTTAAGTGTTCCAAATCACTCAGGTGATTTAAACTTTAAAACATAAAAAATGAATGGCAATCATTATGGTTGTAGATCCTGACAGCAGCAGAAAGGAAGGACCTGCGGTATCTCTCCTTTACGCACCACAGGCTGTCTGCAGTGGATGGGTTCTGCAGCAGATGGGATATGTTCTCCATTAAGGGTGACAGCTTGGCCATCGTCCTCATCTCCCTCACTGCCTCAGCTGACTCCAGTGTGCATCCCAGGACAAAACCTGCCCTCCTGATGAGTTTGTCCTGCCTCCTTTTGTTTGCTGTTGTGATGTTGTTTCCCCAGCAGACCAGTTCATAAAAACGGCTGATGACACCACAGAGTCATAGAGTGCCAACCAGAATTCTAAAAGACCTGAGGCTCCTCAGCAGGTAAAGTCTGCCCTGACCTTTCTTGTCCAGCACATTTGTGTTGTCAGTCCAGTTTGTTTGTCCCTGGATGTTCACAGGGGTTGTTGGAGGGAGTCTAGTCCTGCGGAAGTCCACTACCAGCTCTTTGGTTTTACTCATGTTGATCTGGAGGCAGTTTCTCTGACAGCAGTCCACAAAGTCCTGAGTAAGTTTACTGTACTTGCTATGACCTCCATCTAAATGTAGCCGACAATAGCAGAGGCATCAGAGAACTTCTGCAGGTGGCGGTTTGTTGTGCTGTGGGTGAGGTTGGCAGTGTAGAGGGTGAAATATATCATACTGACATTACGTCTAGAGGATTCTGTGCTAGTCATCCTGGTCTAAGCTGTTTTTTTCCAGCAGGGGAGGACAAGAACTTTCAGTCACCCATCTCTGAACACTGTCATTTCATGGACTTTTCATTTTTTTTGCCATATAATAATGAAATTCAGAATATAATGTTTAATAATACAGTGTTTAATGCAAAAATCCTTGTTTTGTAAGTAATTGTGCACATCATTTCCATTGCTACGCTAATGTTAATTTCTGCTAGCATCTTAATTCAATTTCCTCAGTCTGAACACAGACATTCGAAAGCATGTAAGACATTCAAGATATGTATTTTACTTTTTATTGAGTAGTTTAGCACTAAAGGACTCAGTAAATACTTCAGTTCAACACCTAACACTAACGGTTTAGCTCGTTAGTTATCTTTTAGCCTGTTTGCTATCTTGTAGCCTAGTTGTTTAGAATATAAGTTGTTAGCCCCTCAGTTTAAACAAAACCAGGTTTGCTTCATTAATCAGGCTACTCGGTGCTCAATATAAGAAGAATAACAGTCCTTTCACAATACAATGTTTTAGTGACTTGGCTCATTAATACAGAATTCAGCTGCTGTGCGTATATGAAGAATTTTACAAATGCGGCTCAGCCAATCAGATTTTTGGATTGGCTCTCTGTTTTCTTGCTACTTTAAATGCTATCGGGCCACCATGCCAGTTTTCCACCAGTATATATACTACTTTATAGGCTAATCAGTGACTATTAATGCAAGTCCTTCAATTCAGGCCATGAATGTCAAAACTTTAAAAACAATTACCCTCACAGTGATGCTAACTTCTAGTAGTTTGTTAGCACTAAGCTAATGGTGATTTGCATTACTTTGAGTTCTACATTTGAAGCTCCACATATTACTTAAGTTAAGGCTTCTCCTAAGCTCTTGAAGCCATAGCCAATAGGAGAGCTTGCTTAGCTATATCTACCTAGATACCCCAGAGTAAAATAATTCCTGATTGGCCAATTTCCTGTGGAACGTTTCAAGAATTTAACCCCTTTGTTTCCACCCAAAACTTAACAATAAAACAAGTCTAGGCCCTGCGGCTAATACTGGAAACTGAAACCTCCACTGATATGTACCCCATTCATACACATTTATATGTCTTCTACATTTTCTGCCATTATATTATAATGACATTACCTCTATGAGGATTCTGCGCTATTACATTAGGTGTTGTTGGGCTTATCTTGTAATGGTTGGTGAAAATTCATATAGGATGTAGTGAAATACTCATTTGACCTCACAGCTTCCTTTGTGGTACACACACCCTTCCACTGTGTAACTGAGGCGTTTCTACAGCTACGTGTCACTGAATATTCTCGACATTGAGGATGCTCTAACGTCATATCAGTGTTTCATCACGTCCTGTGTGAGTGCTCAGACCGCCAACGAGAATAGGCTACAGGATGTAAATCAGCACCGCTGTAGTGATTACGCAACAGATCACTGACTAGTTCTTGGCAGTTTGTGGGGGAGGTGAAAGAAGAATGTAGGTTAGTCTTCTGGCCTCAGGGTTTCACATCAAAACATGTCATAGAACAACTGAATCTTTGTGAGTCACTGTTTACATTCTCTAATTAAGATGCACTTTAAACTTTCATTTTGACTATAAAATCAAGGCTGAATCACTTGGGATTCTCTTTCTCTCAGTTCAAGATACCTTTATTGGAATGACTGTATCAAGTACAACATTTCCAAAGCATAATTGCAACAGCAACTATGAGAACATTAACAACGATAGTATTATTAATAATAATAATAATAATAATAGTTTGCAAGTTGCAAGTCAACAAGATATATTTCATTTCAAATGTATTTTAAATAAATAAATATCATTTGTTGGCATTGATAGCAGGACTTGGCATTTAGCTGAATTCCCTGCAGCCGATTTCTTTGTTGGCCATGTACCAGAGATGTAGAACAGAGATCAAAGGCATTCAAGTCTGGACCTTGAATCAAAATACAAATCTGGTCTTGATTATTTAAGATAACCAGTATAACACTTTGTCATCATGCCTGACAGCAGTAGTTGGGATGAGTTGGAGTTCTGAAGCTCCAGTAAACACCTCTGGGTTGAGGTGAAATGATGAATCTCCACTGAACATCTTTGGGATGAGTTGGAGTGATGAAGCACCTCTGACCATGTTTGGGATCAGTCAGAATGATGAATCTCCATTGAACATCCTTGGGATGAGTTGGAATGATGAAGCACCTCTGACCATCTTTGGGATCAGTCAGATTAATGAATCTCCACTGAACATCTATGGGTTGAGTTGGATTGATGAATCTCCACTGAACATCTTTGGGATAAGTTGGAGTGATGAAGCTCCACTGAACATCTTAGGGATTAGTTAGAGTGACAAAACTCCACAGTATTCGGGAGCCATTTGCCAGCCAGAAGCTATGTTAGACCAGAAAGTGTCTGGACAGTTTTAGACAAGCTGTGTAACCCCCTACTCTATGCTCATTATGATGTGAGAAAAATATCGTCTAAAGTCAGAAGCCAAGGTCAGGAGCTGAACTGGAACCAACCTCTATATTGCACATCAAAGTATAAAGAACAACCCACAAGAATTATCTGAATGAAACATAAATAACATTTACATTTACAGTATTGTCCTGTTGTCACATTGATCTCTCCATACAGATCACTTAGTAGTAGTGTAAAATTAGATCGATTTGTGTTATCCATATGCTATGCACCATGTTTTTTACAATGTGTTTTCCACAAATCTGGATCTCAGAAAGTCCTTATACCTTTTCTATGTACAATTTGAATTGTCCTCTAGCCCTTCATCAGTGCTGAGTTTCTGACCACATGACCACTGCTGGCTGGATAGTTTTGGCTGGTGGACTATTGTCTACCCACAAGTGACACTGACGTATGAAAAGCAATAATGCAATGACTGATATCTTTGTACCAGTGCAACACATATTACCATGTAAGCATCACAGATATGTTGACAATGGTCCACCATCAAATTAATGTGTGGTTAGCAGTGGTCCTATCGTGGTCCCTTTCCACTGAATGACAGGGTAGAAGAGTAACAAACTATGCAGCAACAAAAGGGCTACAGTCTGTAATTGTGCACTTACAGTGGACATATACAGTAGGTGTTTCTGATAAAATGGCCAGTGAATATATATATACATATAAAACATTCATAAATATATATATAACATTTAAACATTTTTAACTGTGTCATTTTTTGAATATCGATACTGGTTTGATGTGAAACAGTTCATTGTAGAGAAACTTACTGACTCCAGTTTTCTTCGCAGTGATGGCCGCAATATCTACAGCTCAAATATAGCCATTTTATTTGCTGTCCAAAGACAACAATGAATCTACATGTATCGCCTGTGTTTTTATATGTAATGTTGATAATAATGGCATATCTGTGGGCATATTTCTTTGGGTAATATTTTGTATTTGTCTGCATGTATCTCTCCACCAAAAATATATTTTAGGCCCAACCCATTTCTCTGAATAGCTTTCTGTGACTGAGCTTTTAGAGACATAAAAAATTTCAGACGTCTGGTTCCTATCACCACCACTGTGAACGATTCTGACTCTGAACAAGTTTCTCTAGAACGGAGTATTTCACACCAAACCACTTTAAATGACTGTTTATATATTAACCATTTCATTATGCAGATACTTTGAAAAATCCAGGAATTCCTCTTTAAATTCATCGTAGCCTCAAGAAATGAGATTTTGTTCTGTAACACTGAGCGCATTTACATGCATTCAATAATCCAGTCATAATCGGATTTCTGCAGTTATCTGATTATTCAAACAGTCATGTAAACAGCCTACTCCGATTTCTTAGATCGGAGTAAGGTCTAAAAATCTGAGTAAAAAACTCTTACTCTGATTTCTTTCGTATTTCTCAGCCTGTGCATGTGTGAAACAGACCGCAGTAGCAGAAATAAGCAAGCAGCGTTGCTGCAAGACGCAGCAAAACACTTTTGGAGCGACACTGAAACCAAAAACATGCTTGACGAAATGAAGGATTTAAATATTCTTCTCCTACTAGATGATGTATGTTCATATTTTCAGGTAAGTAAAAAAAAGTTTTACTTTATGTTTACATCACGTCTTCTTCTGTGAGTTTATTGACTGGTTGCAAAGCAGAAATCCGATTACTGTCTGACTCATGTAGACCCGGAGTTTCCCCATTATCTGATTACTCAAGTGCATGTAAAAGCGTTGATCGGATTACTGACAAAATCTGATTTTCTTCAGTTTTGGATTATGAAGTGTATGTAAATGCACTCAATGTCAGTCACAAACATGGAGGCTGTAGTTGTTGCCGTCATTGTTGTCCCAGAAGGCTTGGCTGTGTCCCTGCGGTAGATATTCCACGCAGAATTCGATGCGCTGTTGCGCCTCCAAGGCCACTGGCACCGCAATGTGAAACGAGAAGGAGTCTGTGTCAGGCTCGCCACAGCACCGTTGCAGAAAGGCGCATGGCACGTCCTGCTGGGTGCGCCATGAATCAAAGGTGATGCGGATGTGCACAGCTTTCTCGTAGCTGAGGTTCCACACACGCACTGTGCCCACGAGGGCTCGCTCCGTGACGCAGCAGCTCTCCAGCAGCACCGGGCTGTGGCGCATGCGCTGTTGGAAAGCCTGGATGTCCACACACGGCTGAGCAAAGCCCACACGTAGCCTGGGGCCCTGAACGCGCTCTCCCACCCAGTGCAGGCTCTTCAGTCTCAGGGACACTGGCGCCTCCTCGTGAGGCTTCTCCTCCTTCTTGGAGAACACGCGCACGGAGGTGAGTGAGAGGCCCTTGGAGTCAGCGAATACAACCCGTTTCTTCGCACAAGCGCGGTGCCGGACTTTTGGAGAAGGGGGTCTGAGCAGGTGACCGTGTGCTGGAAGGCCAAAGCCCATGTCCATTGATATGGCCAACACGCTGCAGAGGAAGGAGAGGGAAAGCATTCACAATTACGCACATATACACTTGTGTATACACGCATATGTATGCGCATTTTAGAGGAGCAGGTGAGACTGCATCCATGTTCCTCAATGATTTTATAAGCTGTGTCTTAAAGCTGAGGATGCAGTGGATGTAGCAGAGGTCTTCCTAGCACTGATGTATAAAGGCTGCTCTTCAGCTATACTGACATGTCACAGCTTACTGACATAAGCATGTTTAAATCTTACGTTTATAACATGAAATTAAAATGTGCACTTCACTGGATTCCACTGCAAACTCTGGCACTGCAGCATCTCTTCACTCACGGCTGATTCTTCTCTATGATTTGGAACTGAGCGTGAAGGATTATGGGAGACTAAAGGTCTCAAAGGATACTCTGGCTTTTAATTTCTTACAAATAAGGGATGCATTTCTTGGCTACATTTGAAGGGTCCTACAAAACCAGATGACCTTCAATGACATAACAGCCAAAAAATGCAGCCCTCCTTGGCTGCATCCTTAGCATTGAGACGTGGCTATAAAGAGCAGTTAGTTTTGTAGTAAATGTGTCCCAGAGTCTTAAAATCAGTGTGTAACTTGGAGAACGGTCACCACCGGAACATACTGTCTGCAGTTAAGTAAACCTCTTGTGTTTTAATGACTGTTGAAAAAGTACAGCCGTATTTGAAGTGTATTTCACATGCCCATGTATTTTCAGGTGGACTGAGACATGAATGTGAATGAAATAACAGCTTGTCCAACACTTACTTTGCACAGAACATGTTGAGCTGTAAGACAGGAGTTGCTGGAAGAAGCGCTGACCTAAACGGTGCTGAAAATGAAAAAAAAAAATCAGTTATGCAATTAAAAAGATAAACAGGACAAAAAGCTTAAGTAGTCTGACAGTTACAGGCCTGTATTAATTAGTATTCGTGTAAAGCATATATGGTTTTTCATATGATTTCATTTTGTAAGGCAATGATTTGATATTTAGTGGTACTTAACCCTTGTGTGGTGTTGATGTTTTTGTTACTCAGTGGTCTGGTGGACCCTCTGCATTATTGTTTTTTTAAATCAATAGGGTTCTCCTTTAGCAGCTGTAGCCAATCAGCAGACTGTCCATATACACATATACAAATACATACACACTCAGACACAGACACACACACACTAACAGCAGGTCATGTAGGAGGATAACAGAGTGAAGGACACAGCACCTCCACACTTTTACTCCCCACAGGTTCAGCCCAACACCAATATGTGTAATATAAATGTGTAGGGGGTGAACAGAGTGAAGACACTGAACATGTGTTATTTATATGTTCAGAAAGTGAGCAAAGGCCAAGGAATCTGAGGTTGAAATAATAATAAATCATCATTTTTTTCTTTTGGTCAACACTGAAAATGGGTCCCACAGACCCCAACACCACACAAGGGTTAACGTGCAATGTGAAGCAATACGATTCCTCCCAGTAGTTCAACAGCTCTACTTTTCTGTCTTAATAAACTCCACTGTCAGGTTGATGGTTTGCTCTGCTTGAAGCGAAAAGATCACTGTTCATCTTTCACCTTTGAAAAATGTTTTTTTAGCGCAGAGTTTAAAAAAAAAACTGTAATCGGTTTTCATGACAAAGCAATCCATCAATCAGACTCAGTGTATTGTTACACCTCTGTTCCTATGTATTCTTCTAGCTAACACATTAATAACTTAAAACAATAACACACTTAAATATTTTCTGTTTACCTGCAAATTTTAGCATATTGGAAAAATTATAAAAATGTAGCATATTTTTGTTATATATGACATAAACACAGTTTATGCGATATATAAATAAACAGTAATTGTGAATAGATTGGAAAAAATTGAATATTAAAAAATACTTCATTATATATATATGTATATAATTTTTATTTTTGATATAATTTAATACATTAAGTTTACTATGTGGTTCAATGTAATTGTGAGATGTGTTCGCTGCTAATTGAATGTAAAAAAATGCTATATTCATTTATTTATTTTTGAAATAACATATATATTTTTGATATCGCTGCTGATTGAAGGCAAAAAATTGCTATATTTATTTATTTATTTTTGAAATAAATTACCCAGAAATATATATATATATTTCTGTGTAATTTCAAAAATAAAAATTATATGCATATCATTTTATATAATTTATATATATATATATACAATTATATATATAATTTTTATTTTTGAAATAATTTCATACATCATCAACTTCACTATTTGTATTTCAATGCAAATTATATCTAAATATTATATCTATATATCTATATAAAGGCTTATGCTTAGATGAAAATTAAATTAGATTTAAAAATCTTGCACAAAAACAATAGAAGTATGTAAAAAAATCTTGTCAATGCGAGGTTTTATTCCAGGATCTCCAAAGCTGTCCCAGATATTATCACCAAAACCAGCAGAGAAGAGGAACTTACTTTCAAACGGTGAACTTTCACTGCTCAGAAGTCTTCAGCGTGATTTAAGCCGCAGGTCTCACGTACGCATGTCGCAGGTATAAGTGACTAGATCAAGTGTGTTGGCTCTCAACCTGTCAGACCCCAGTGATGATCCCTCCCCTACTTCTTCCTGTCCTCGCACTCCTCACACTCGCTGGCAACCTACCATATCAGGAAGTTTCCGCCCACTTCTCCTTATTTACTGAGAATGAGTAAGTGACGGTAAGTTCAGCGCCTTTTAAGAGTCACGTAGTACATGAGGCAACATCCAAAAAGCTGTTCTAACATGTTCATAAAAGAGTTCTAGAACTAGTGCAGGTCCCTGTGTAGAACCATAACATCATATTCTAATAGGTTTACATCAGGAAAACTGCAACAAAGCCTGTCAAATACAGAAATGACATTGAATTATCATTTCATCAGTCGAGTAACATGAACATTAATTCATTTAGCATTAAGAAGAGCAGCCAATTTGTCTGATCTCTAAAAGAAGTCTTGATTCATTCCAAACTTTCCCAGCAGTGATGACCCCAACACACAGGCCAAGTGGGTTATGCTCTAACCTGTCTTCAGACTCCTTTTAAGTCTTTTAAGTAGCCATAAAATGCCATTTGCACCTGTTTTGGAGATCCATGTGGTGAGATTTTATCAATATGTTTAGAAATTTCATTGACAAAGTGGGTTTTCTTCATTGTAGATGAGCTACCAAGCCAGCATTTATAAAGTGTTGGAATTATTTTTACAGTATCAAAAAAGCTGCAGTTGCCTGTTTTATTTCGGCACAGCCATCCTTGTGTGAATTGTTTCCAGAGCAGGGGCTCTTCCCCTTCCCCTTTTACCCCTAAAGTCCAGTCATCATTCTGTAGTCAGTGTCACGCCAGTATTATTAACTCTGAGGGTAGGCTGGTTTCCTCTATGACAGAAATTAATAGCTGCCTCCAAATGTTGCCAGAACCTTGAATTATGAGAACATATAAAAAAAACCATAACATATAAAAGGTGCATAACTGTTGCCTTTTTATATATTTAAATACATGAATGAACAGTTATTGTGCATTAAATTGTGCAAATGTGTGTTCACTGTGGACTGGAAAAAAATTTATTAGATTGAATTAAAATTTCATTGTTGAATTAAATAAATTGTGCATATATATACATCATCTAAACCGCTTATCCTTCTGGGTCACGGTGGGGTGCTGGAGCCTATCCCAGCTGTCATTGGGCAGAAGGCAGGATACACCCTGGACAGGTTGCCAGTCCATCGCAGGGCAGACAGACAGAGTCACACACTCACACCTAGGGGCAATTCAGCATGTCCAATCAGTCTGACTGCATGTTTTTGGACTGTGGGAGGAAACCCACGCAGACACGGGGAGAACAGGCAAACTCCACACAGAAATGACCCCGGTCGCCTGGCCGGGAATCGAACCCAGGCCATTCTTGCTGTGAGTCAACAGCGCTACCCACTGCACCACCGTGCCGCCTATATATATATATATATAGAGTTATTTTTGAAAATTTCGTACATCAACCTATCAACTTTATTTGTATTTTAATGCAAATTATATCCAAATATCATACCTATATGTCTAATATTTAAAGACATATGCTTGGATGCAAATTATATTTTTGCAACCTCAACAAAATACCCCACACAACCCAGACGGCTTTGTCAAATGTTGGTCGTTTAGAGGCTTTGGCAGTAGTAGCTACAGTCAGAGTGGTTGGTGTTGATATGCTGAAGTTTATTAGTACGCTTACTTTCATGCAGCACCATTTCAGTGTGCAGCAGCATTAGCTTGTTTGTAGCATGTATGTAGCATTATCCATATTTCAACCGGTGATCAACTTCATACATCAGTGGATTCAACGACAAAGCAGTGATTTTTGAAAGACGAGCTCCTAAAATGAGCATCATAGCTAATACAGAATCTCGCACGACTTCAGAGGCCTATTGTTAGCGAGCAGCTCAACACCAAGTCTGAACAGGCTAATGTTACCATTTGTTCGTCACATTATCTGCACTTATTTGTGGCATTCCAGTGTAACGGTTATGAGTAGTTTGCAAAATACCCCTTGGTATTCGGGGGGGGTCCCATGTTGGCTGGCTGCTCCAGCGCTGACTGGCTGCTAACTCACTTGCCGTCACGGATGCTAGCCTCAACCGCCACAAAATGCTTTTTTTAACAAACATTCTTCTGGAAATGCTCTTTTATAGTTTGGTAATGTGCTCTTTCATACATTACCTGAGATCTTACACATCTCATTTGTCTTCGGTTTGAAAAATAAGTAACAATTTCCACCAGTATCTCGGAAAATTGGGCAAGTTTTCAGATTTACGAATATGCTACAGCATATTGCGCATTTTTCAGAGGTATTCCGGCCACAGTTACAGTTGCTAGGCTATGAAGGACCAACTGTCTGTGTGAGCCAGGTTGCTACAGCGCCATCCTTAGGCAGACCCTCACTATATCTCTAGTTAGATAAGAATAATAAAGACAGAAGCTCACCGATTGTGGGTGAAGCAGCTAAACAATGGCCTTTCCCTGAAATTGTATTTGAGCATCTATTGTTCCCTAACAGATGTTTCTTTTCAGAATGAAATAAAATAAAATTTTGAGACAGGGGGCCCAAGAGGTTAATTCAGGAGGTCTTGGACCCCCCAGGACCCCCTGCATTTCGCACCCTGGTAATAACAAAACTCCTGAAGAAGAATTGCAAGATGAATACTGGACAAACCGGTGCACTGCCCGCTACTAATTGACTATATTTGGGGTGAGGACATTTGTTTTATTAAAATATGGCTTCAAGGCAGCCTGCCTCAATTAGTCACTACAGAAGTGCTACTAAGATTAGCGCAGTGGTGGGACCTTCGCTGCTAGGCCGAATTTCCAGGCTTCGGGAAAAATCAGATTCCACACATGCTAAAGCTTTGCACTCCTGTGAACACTGACAATAGGAATCAATGCTAATGAACGCCTGGAACTATTTATGCCCTGCTTTTTTCACCGAATGAACAAATCGCATGCATAAAAGCGCCGCAGTGTTTCATATAACAGAGTAATTAGCATAAGTGTGTCTTAAAATAGGAGAAGAGAGAACATGTGGACTTCTCAAGGCCGTTTCAAAAGAAGTGTGCATGTGTGAGCATGAATATTTTTTGTCCTGATTATGCTTCAGTCATTTCATGCGAATGTGTTTTGGTTCAGATCCAGATCAGATCTAAGCAGATCTAACACCACAGAAAGTCGCATAGCAGTCAACACTGGCATTGGCCATCTAATACATGATCTCGGCGGGCCTTTGAAATATATTTATAATCTTTTGAAGTGCATGGAGCTTAGATTTCAGGTTACATCAAAAGATGCTTCATCAGATCAACCCAAAAAAAGGCTTCACTTGATAATTTCACTGGTTTCATTCAACTCAAATTATTACAAAACATAATGTCTGTTAGACGGACATCAATTCAAACTTCAAAAGCCCTTCAAATCAGGTCCACTCCTGCTCCACCGCTCACAGTGTGGATTTTTAGTATGCTGCCCTTCAAAAATCTGGGGACATCTAGCTTTTCAAAATTTTTAATACAAATAAGCATGTTGTCTTTGTCGGTTTGCAGCAACTGAACATATTAAAGATGCAGGTTTATTTTGCAAATGTTTATGACAAAAACTAAAAGACATGTTTGATTAAATACCACTTAAATACTTCTAGCATTATATGGCTTTTTAGTGACGTCAGCATTCACCAGCGCTTAAGCCTTTAGGTGTTTAAAGCACTTTTGGGCCAAAAGAATTTCATAAGTACATAAAATGTAACCTGTGCAAAAGTTATAGCACATTTTATGCTTATATTTTATGTGCTTCATGCAAACGTATTGACCCCAGTCAATTTACATGTTTTGTTGATTTTTCAAGTGAAAATAAGTTAACACCAAATACAGGGAACACACTTAAATATGACATTTTCCCTCAAATTCTGCTGCATAATTTCTATTTCTTTGTGAAGTTTGACATATTGGAAAATAAAAAAAACATAAAATACAAAATGCACCTTAACTTTTGCACAGGCAGCATTTTGTGTTTAATTTTACCCCAGTATTTTATATTAAGCAAATAAAAAAAAATAATACATTTGGCAAATAAATATATGTGATGTCTTGGGGCATCGAGGAGAAATCTGGGACCAAACTTTGCTCTTCTAACTGGCTCAGCGTATCGGCTACTTTTTTTTTCGAAAAATAAAAAAGTTTTCATATCTTAGATATTTACAACAATATTATGATCTATTTAAAGCCAAGGCATTAATGGAGAAAGTACAAAGCTAAATATATTCAAAATCATCATTTATAGGGTACAAACCGTAACGCCTAAATTTACACTTATAAAAAAATAATACTTTTTTCGTAATTTTGTTCAGTCCTGTTTTTTTTAAAAAGATCCTTTTGATTTCCTTTAGGGTGAAATTGAAAGCTTTAGATTTGTCATGAGTTTAATTTCTAAACAAAACTTTAATTAAAAAATACTGCACATTTTCATGTCACTACCGAAACACAGAGTTTTAGTCCATAGGCGGAGACTTATTTTAGCCACGCCCCTGTATTTTAGAACAGGAAGTGAGACTGCATCCCTGTCCCTCATGGCCACATGATGAGCAGTTAGATCCCACTGTTTTGAAGTAAATGTGTCCCAAAGGCTGAAAATCAGTGTAACATTAAGAACTGTCACTACTGAAACACACATTTTTTGCAGTTAAGTAAACTTTTTTGTGTTTTAATAAAAATATTATGATTTTATGAGTGTAGAACTGTTCGAAGCTGTGTTTGCCAGTCATATAATAGCTAGCGTTGCTGAGTTATGCTTAAAATGAGCTAAAAAATGTCACCACCGAAACACTCCCTATTGAAAATTTTGGTAAAGTTATGATTGCTTTAGTAGTGACAAAATGGAAGGTATAATTAAGGTATAACGTCAGTCAGGGCAGAAAGTCTAAAGTCTAAGTCACCCTAAAAATTCAAAATGTGTTTTTGAACTCTGACTTTGAACCAGTTCAGTAGAGAGATGTGTATATACTGCATTGACTGGATTTGATGGTCATGCCAAGTGTGTGTGT